CACACTAATTTCGCGTGTTATTCCTCTTGCTAAAAACTGCTATGTCCAGAGGGTTCAAAATGATTAAAAGGAGCATCCTGGCGAGTCTTTCGTTTCAGAGCGACATGAACAATAAAATTATAATGATTTGTGTTTTTAGTTTCTTTCCTTTTGCAGCACATCCAAATCAACCGCCGGCAAAGTGTCTATCCGCTGATGTGCGCCGGGCTGTATAACAATATAATATTCCCGAAAATAATTGCTCGCAATTTGCTATATAGGGCCGAAATATAACCAACAACTTAACAGCCTCCGCGATAGTCGTGTGCTCTTGCAGTGCGCGCGGCGGAAGGCGGTTATTATTCCTGCTTTTTATGCGAATTGTTGTTGTTGTCAGGGAGAGGCATTGGACCCGTTTTCACGCGTCAATAAAACCCGATAAAACCATGGGAAAAGAAGATGCGAGAAAAGCTGTCTCTTAAAAGCAGCAATTTGCGAAAAGTCAATAAGTTTATAATTTATTATCTGTAAACCATCTAAAATTAAGTTTGGTGCGATCCAGTGCGATCAATAATTTGACGATCTCGAATCGATTCCTTTGATCAGCATGTTTAATTGATTTTCCTCATTTCAAAAGAAAGGAAAGTCAAATTCAAATAAAAATAAACCAACCAATAAGATGATAAAAACAAACTTTCTTGACAATTCTATGTTTTCTAAGCAAAATGAAATATTTAATAATCTAATTCATTTCATCCAATCATTTAACTTAAAATACAAAAGCAAACGGAGGGTTAAAGAGATAAAAATGATGATATTGCCCCCCTAATTTAATTTAGACATTAAAATTTTTTCAAAAAGAGCCTTGAAGCAATGCCGAGTTTTCAGACAATAATTTTGTAAAAATCATAAACGCACGAAAATATTTAGTAGAATTCAAAACTTTCTTATTTTATTCTGCAAAATTTTGCCTGTTTTAGGGAATAATAGTCAAGGATAATAAGTCTAGGATAAAATTAACTTAAAATTGCAATATATTTTGATGATTTTGGACCAAAATCTTTTGAAAACTTTATTAATACATTTATTTTAAAATTTTATGAAAAATTCAATTATAATTTTATTATTCATTGTGAAACTTAATTCAGTCTGGAAATTTTCAAATAAAATTTTCATCCTGGAAAAAGAGACGAAAAATATTGCCAAATGTGAAATGTTTGCTTCCTGCGGTAGATCGATTTTTATATGCAATATACAGTTACTTGTTCGCAGCGATATTGGACAAAGGAAGAGCAGGTGGACAAAAGGTTGTGCGAGCAGCGGCGACCTGACCATACAACAATGGGGCATTTTTCTACACGGCGTGAATGCCGAGCAGCTTCGGCGAGATGCTGCTCTTGGTACATATCGCGCGCAGGCAGCACCCACGGTCATCACCTTCGAGAGAGCATTGTCCTCTGCCCGCTCAGGTGTTTCCGGAGCCATCTCTCTCTCTCTCTCTCTCGCTGTACATACAATATACATTTTTTCGACCCCCACCCCACGCACGCATTCGCAATACACGCCAGAGATGAACTTTGGCTGCAGGCCAAAACTCATATCCCGCGCGCACCCTGAGAGTTCCGAAGCTGCCCACATTATTATTTGTTCGACGCGGCGCTTCTTATCTCCAGCCATGTTCTACCCAGACAGAATTGTGATGGAAATATCCGAACGTGCGCAGTGTGTATTAATTAAGAAAAAAAACACGCCATGCTGCTGCAAAGGTTTTTTCTTATTCCACCGGCGCACCCTCTCAGGTTCGGCGCCCGAATCGTGCAGAATTTGTATGTATTTAATGAAGAGTTGAAGTTTTATTAACTTAAACCATAAACTCAATAATTACATTCTCAATCCTGTTTTTCTTAATTGAGAAGAAAATAATTAATAATCGTGAATTTTTGCCCAAAACTTTGCAAGCATAAAAACTTAGACTGCCAAAATTTTATTTTTCATACAGATTAATTCTTTATTTTAGAAAGAATTTCCTTCTAATTCCTGGAAAAAATTATTATTTTAATTAATACTCTTCAATCCAGGCAAAGCGGTTTCATTTAATTACTACAAACTCATAAAATCGTGTTAATCATGAATAATTAAAAAACATTTAAAATCTTGAGTCACTCTACAATAAAAATTGAGAACTATAAATTTTTCTGAATCATCTTAAATCTGCGTTTTGAAATTTATCACAGCATTATTTCCTCTTGTATATTTATAAAAAAAAAAATGATCAATTTTTATCCCATTTTGTGAATTGCGAGCAGTGACCTTATATAATATATATTTTTACGGAAAACATAAATCACACGATATAAAATTGCAGAAAATATCGAGCATTGTCAGAGCTATTTGTTACAGAAAAGTTGATAATAGACCGTCGGATAATGCATATAAATCACCACACAGGCTCTGTGGGCGGATAAAAACCTGCTCTCCGGGAGTTTCACACACAAAGGACAAAATTTTGTCCCAAAGTAGAGAATAAAAAAAATCGTTGTGTGAAAAACGGTCTGCATCTGCCTATTGTGCCTTTTGAGGAGAGTTGCATCTCTCGGATTATCAGTCAGCTCCTTTGTGTGCGGCAGGTTGCGAGATTGTTGGGGGAGTTTTTTTGGGGTACAGTAGGAAACTTTTGTGCGCGCCAGACAATCGCTTTTTAAACGCCATCGCAGCAAATTACATCATCTCGTCCGCAGCGGCCAATTGATGAATTATTATTTCCTTATTCGTTATTTTTTTATTTATAAATTTCCTCCCTGTTTGATTCGAATAACTTAATTTATTAGAAAATGCCCTACACAGATGAGAGCTTTTAATTCTACTTCATTTCAGTTATTATTGAAAGGCGTGTATTTTATATAGATGCAGATGATGAATTGTGAAACGTCCTTCAGACAGTTCCACAAGAAGTTGGCGCCAGAGGGATTTACAGATTTCCTTTTCTTAAAAAAGCGTTTCTCCCCTTTCTCTTTAGCCCCACACGCATTTTGTTTACGCAGGGAAGAAGCAAAACACCAGCAATAACACTTTTATAATTTAACAAAAAAAAAGGGATTATATTGTCTGTGAATTCCAGTCAAGTGAGCAAGCATTTGAAACTTAATCCAAACGTGTGTTGTTCCCCCTGCAAATCCCAACATCCAGGGTGTCTCCAAACCAGACATTCAACAAGCACAACCTATTGTCCACGGAAAAGCTGGGAAAAGTGCGGCCAGGTGAAAACTCTCCTTTTTTCCTCTTTAAATAATTCCACACACAAAATAATAAAGTAACACAAAAATTCCATTAGAGAAACCAAACACGTGCTTTTTTAACAAGAGGCGAAAACATAGAATTTCGAGTGCACAAAAATTCCTTTGTGAAAACGTTTGCAAAATGATCCAGCGTTCCAGCCGAGCGGCCGAAAGTGCAGGCTCGGGGAGGGCAAATGACGAATAAGTTGAATTCGATATCCGAAGCCAAAGAAAATAGGCGCTTCAGGTGAACAGGAAGGTGAGGTCACTCAATCTGGTCACCCACCACAAGTGCTGTCAGTTGTTTGCCCTCTTGTTCTCGCAGTCATTGCGGTTTAATTCCCCAGCGGTGCCAAAACAGATTCGATTACACTGCAAAAGCTGCAAGGGGTGTTTGTTCGCGAGACGACACTTTGGCTTCTTGCTTTTATACATTATTTTTTTATAATTTTTAATAGAAGTGCACCCGCAGGCAATGCGAGAGACAAAGCCGAGCTGACGCGAAACCAATCACCGAGAAAATCTCGCATTCCGATGGTTTTGACTCGAAACTTTTTGTTCCTCGTTGGAATAAGCAGGTGAGTAATTCTGTCTGTTTGCCAACAAGGAAAGCGACGATGAGGGGAGCCATTGTTGTGGGCAGCTGACCAATCTGCCTTATTCGGTGTCTGATATCACCTTATATACTTTGCATATATTAAAAAATTACTTTTTTGCACCACGGATCAAATTCATTTTTCCTATAATTTTTACTTTCAAGCGAAATTTACTCGGAATAAAATCAAACCTGTTTTGCGCACACTTGACATAATTACACGTTCAAGTAAGTCGTAAATAAATAAATTGCGAATTAGATTACAAACTTCTGCACTTACCTGGAATTCCGTCAGACTCCTTGATTGTCAACAACTCGGCCTAGTTTGGGTCGAATTTCGAACTGCATCCTGGACCTGGTGAAACACGTGGCACTCATTGCAATGTTTAGTCAACAGACTGATCTAACATCTACATAACTGATCAAAACTGGGTGGGCGTGTTCAATTATTATTTAAGTGTAAACGCGGGAGAGATTGAAACCTGAAAAGCAGTTAGCAGAAAATGCTGCAAATTTTCTTTCATCTTCTAATATAATATTATATTTTGTCTTTATTCCGAGATATTTTGAGCCAAGTTTAAAATAAGTGAAGAGGAGTTTTATAAAAACATCCGTTGATTAAACAACAAAATTGTTTAAATTAATAAATTCAATAAAAAAATTATTGTATGCGTCTGATGATTCAATACTTTTGAATTTCCTTAAAATTATTTAAACATATTTTATGATTTGTCATTCATTATTAAAATTGGGCCTTTTTCTCAGCCAGTTCAGTAATTTTTTTAACTAAAACTTATAATGAATTAGATTAAAAACATTAATTAGCTCAATTTATCTATGCAATCATTTATAAAAATAAGATTCAGTTTGAATAAGTTAAAAATAATTAAATATTAATTTTTTTCTGCTCCAGCGTTTGGGCGTTTTCGTTGTCCCTGGAGTGGAAAATGCAAGCGAATAGAGAATAATAAGTACGCTCTGGCCTTTTTATTTCAGCATTGAAATTTTCTCCTATACTCACGCACACACAAATACAAAGAGCACTTCTTCTTCTTATTCTTGTGGCCGCGCGCGGCGGCGAACGGATGACGGCATTCCGCCCGCGAGGGGGCACCCGGTGCACACCGAAGGTCAGCGACATCGCGGTTGTTTTCGCACGTGAAAAATAAAATATAAGAAAGGGTGTTGCCTGGCGGCGGGCACACCTTCTTCCGTACCTGTGCATTTCGAATTCCTGCTCTTGTGTCGTCGGCCACAGGTAAAAAATAAAATAACGTGTCTCTCTTGGCGCGCATACTTGGGCGTCCAGGGTGGACCGCGTGTTAATCAGCCAAGTTTATTTTAATTACGAGACACCCTCGTTGAATGACAATTAATTATTCGCGGTGATTATTCAATCAACGACTACAATTTATGTTTCCGGACGCATGAGAAAATGTGTGGTTATATTATTTTTGAAGCCGTTTATTTTAAATTTCTGCCCTGTTTTGAAATTTTTATTATAATAACCTAAATTTCAGTGTAATTAAAACGAATTGATCCAGACGGAAAAAAACTAAATGCATAATTAAACCAGCGTTCCAAAATTATTTAAAAAAAAATAGCTATTGTATTTCATCAAAACTTAATATTAATAAAGATTTGATTCAATTCAATCGGTTTAGTTTATTCTCTCATAGCAAGTCAATAGAGGGGAAAAAATAGAAATTACATTGGGAGAGAATAGGCAGCCAGCTTTAGTAAATAATTTACTAAAACTGATAGGCTTAATTTGAAAGCAAAAGTGTTTCCACATTGAACCTATACTTGCCGAGCTGGAGCCGAAAAAAGGAAAAAACATTCAGTTCATAGAAAACTATAAAATTTAGTTCATAATTTACTCAAATGAAAATTTATAGTGTTAATTCTTATTAAAAAGATACACTTTAAATATAAATTTGGTGGGTATTTCCTGTGAGACATAATTATATGAGTTGATTTTGAGGAAAAATATAATATTTTAAGGTGTCAGTCGCAACACTCGGCCGGACATTCTAATCTGTTTGTCACGTTTGGCGCAAATCAAACATCACGTGGCAACGGAAAAGTGGCGCTGCTCACAGCTAAGAGTGAAACCCAAGACGCGAAAACGAATATATTAAAACACACACACACACATTTCTTACATAAAAGCGCAACGCAATCTTGCGCTTATTGTGTGCGATTGCGGAAGAGGTAATTCGAGCAGCGTCTTCGCTCAACCCTCGGTCTGCCATTTGATGCCCGCGCGCATTTTTACACCGAGAAACCAAACCAAAAAGCGTTGAATCTCTTTATCAATCTGTTTCCTGCTCTTTCTTCTCCGGCGCATAAACGAGTTCTTCTGCCAGAGACTCACCCTGACACGCAGGGCGCCCTCGTTCTCCCTCATTTTCCTAACACGGAAAAAAATTATCAAAAACGCACAAAATAATACTGTTCTTCTACGCCGCAGTTTTGAGGACCACGTGGAGTTACAAAACTATTGAGCATATTTTGAATATCTTACCACAAAACTTCAATATCAAAAGTGTTCAAAGTTTCCATCAAATTGTTAATTATAAAACAGTTAAAATTTTCAGTTTTACTCCTTTTAAATAATGAATAAAATAAATAAATTAAATTAACATTATTCACTGCTTTAAAATATCTCCATTAAAATAGCAATGCATACTAACACATCATATTAGATTTACATAAGGTAAGAGTTTTTACAAAATGTTAATTAAGAAAGATTATATAACAAAATTAATTAGTAAAAGAAAAAATATGCTTAAAAATTTAATGAAACTATTTTCTTTTGTAAATGTTTAATTAATTTCTTTCTTTTATCCATTATATGAATTTGAATCCAGCTTCTTATTCATCTTAGTTATAAAATTATGATAATTATGAAATCTCAGTTTAATAAAATTTTAAATTCATTTTTTACATCGGTTAGAGAGTATTTTAGCCTGATTGAAAAGAGTTCCTGATCTGATTTTATAAATTATGAAATTAATTCCAAAATTTCCTTATTGCATCCGTGTCAACTCTACACTTTTAAAAGAGTTTCGTAACAATTAAACTTCTATAGCAATCATCGGACATTAAAATTAAGTTGTTTGATAATTTTCTCAGCTGGCTCGGCTGATACAAATCTGATCACGCCCTGGTCGTGCGGCAGTGTGTTGCCAGCTCCACCCGCCATGTCCAGTTCAGGGTTGTCCTTTTATTCATTTTCAACTTTCAAATGTGCTACATTCTAACGTTATATAGACAAGGCAAATGCAGTCAAGCGGCGTACGAGTAAATATCGCTCATTGATGTCTCCAAGCAAGCAGAACTGCGCGCGTCAAATGTGTATAAAAATCCCACCAACTCGCTCTTATGTGGCAACAATTTATTTAAACTGCCCTTTAAAGTCTCGCGAGCTGTGAAATAAGTTTATTGCTCTAATAATTAAGTCGCGGGAAGAGCTAGAGAAATTGAGAAGAGTGTGGCTGTAAAAAAAATGTACACAAAAGAAATTGCGTGCGTCTCCAAAACACACGCGATGCAATTTTCGTTTGCGGCCTTTTACTGCTGCATGATCACTTCTGCGGTTTCGTCTGAGCGTGATTTTTCAAGATGAATTAACAGCTTCCTCTATCAGATTAATTTGGAACAGGCTAATTTTTTTGTTACCAGGCAACAACCCCAATCAAAGCAAACCAAAAATGTTAAATTTGGTGAATTGTATAAAATAAGTTTTTTTTTTAAATTATGCATATTAAAATATCAAATTTTTATGTAAAAAATTTTTGAAAGATTATAATTAATTGCAAAATAAATTTATATATTATTTTTATAATACAAAAAATTCATTCATTGTAGAAAAACGTTTTTTTTTTATTAAAAAATATGTCACGCTTTTACTTGATGACTTCATTTAAGGAAATTAAGTGGAATTAAAAATTGCAACTCTTAATAAATTTGAAACCAAATTTAGATCAAAAATGTTTGAGGGCATTTAATCTTTGAGTAATTTTTTAGGGAAATGAAATTAAGGGCAATAACAATGGTTACTTTTTTGCACTAATTGGGTTTGAAAACGACTACTTCCTTTTGAAGGTCAGACCGATCTCACAGGAGTTGGCAGCATCTCTCTGAGAGTTTCTGGTCGCCACCAAAAACCTGTTTGACTTCCGGCGCGGAAATATTAAAAGTATCTGTGCATGTGTCTGGCTGGCTTGGCTACATAATTCTGCCGGAGTTTGGCTCGGCCGCGGCGGACGTTGGAACATTTATTAGCGTCATTACGATTATTGGTATATCGGCCCGCGGCTCTCCTCTCCTTTTTTCGTGCTGCCCCTCTCGGCTACCTGCGCCCGAGGAAGAAGCAGAAAAAACATTCCTTATTTTTCCCCTCGCCGGGTCCTTTGGCAACCTTTGTGTGTGCGAGGATTGTGGTGTTGCCATGCATGTGGCCCCTCTCGCTCTTTTGCGCCGCCGAAAAGTAAAAAAAAAAGGAACGAAGCGCAGCATTCTCATTTGAAAATTTTTATCCAAACAAAAATTTTGATCCGTTCCTTAAAAAACTGAAAAGATGAATTTTGGAAAATTTGTCTTCAAAGTATAAATCAACCTTCAGGGTAAAAAGAGTGGAATGCCGGGAAATCCCTGGCGTTTCCTTATTTGCCGTTGCCTTATCTTTTTTTAAATTATTTTTCTCTCCTCACGTCACGACAGTGAATAAGGAAACAACCTTCGAATACAGGTGCAAGCTGTTTTATGCAACGCGCGTTGCATCCGAGTTATGCAGGCTGCCGATCGCGACGTCCATCCAGGGGATTGAAATTTAAAACAGGAGTATGAAATTTGATTGGAATGGAGTTCATCGTTAAATCAGTTGCTGAAAAAGCCAACACAATTTGAACATTTTCCTCTTCTGCCCAGATCATTTGATATATTATATTTTTTATTTTACTTTCTTGTTTTAACTAATATTTATTGATTTACTTTTACAAGTCAAAACGGGCAACCATCCTAAAAACATTTTGCGTGGTCAGTTTAATGGCAGATATAAATACCTGATAAGTGTTTGAATATGAAAATAATTAAAATTATTTAAGGACAAATTCTTTAGCTCATTTTTGATACATTTTGTGAAATTTTACTAATTATCTTCTATGTTCCCCGTTTGATCGAATAAATTAACGTGGAAAATGTTTATTTTAACGCATAATATAATTTTTTTTGCGCGAGTTAATAATTACATAGCTGCGGTCTCTAGGCTGATTGCCTTTTTCATGACAGATTTATTGCCGAGTGATTGTTTATACAAAAGCGGCCTAATTGAATGGAGTCTTCAACTATTAATTTGCTGATGGGAATGTATATCATTATCATATCTTTCTTACTCTGTCTCCATTATTTTCAGTCAATCCTGCAGCGAAAATAATTGGATCTTTGAATATGTAATTTGATTGATCGAAGCAAGATTGCCGGCGGATGAGTTACGTCTTCATGCCATTCAATCATGTTACACAAACACTTTCTTGCGCCGTTTGCAAAATTGCAAAGATGTGAACGCACAATGGAAAAAAGTAAAAGTCACAGATGAATTGCTCGCGACTGTGTAAAAAGAAAGATGCAACTCAAGGAAGTCGGTGATTATGAATAGTTTTGTGTATGCGATTGAAAGATGAAAAGAGCTTTTCACGTTGCAAAAATCTGCTCGACCAGCATCCAAGGCCAGTTCCTTGTTTCAAACCATTCACAATATTGGAGATACAACAGTTTTTGCTTTATTAGACTTCCATCAAATAAGCGAATTATTTACAAAAAAAATTGTGGTTTGATTATTGGCGAATACAAATTGGCGCGAAAAAATCCGAAGATATTTATGCGTTTGGTAAAAAATCACGCATGGCTGACTTGATAGGTTTACTAATCAATAGTTCACACACAAATCTGTGCGCCATAGTGACGTAAGGCAGCAGTTATTGCGTTGAAGTAGGTTAAGTAGCCGGCCCTTGTTCCCTCTCTTCTCTCTTGATTACGTAAACGGGGAAAGTTGACCGGCGTTTATAAATCTGAGACTGTCCGTCGACCTGAGAGAATTAATCAAATAATGCGCCGCGTGTTCCAGTTGATGATTTTTGAATATTTAACAAACAAAATAACGACAATAAAACAATCAGGACGGCCAAATCCTCCAAAGAAATTTAAAAAAAAAATTTGATAACCAGAAAATCGTATCAACTCGTAGATTTGTGAGAAACCTGAATCGCAAGTGAATTTAACAAACTTTTGCACAAAATCTTGTTCCTTGTAATTGCACTGCATATTTTTTGCACTAGATATCAGCCGTAATTGGGAAATTGTTTGTCATCTTTTCAGTCAAAGTTTTATTGAAATTCCAATTTAAAAGCGAAGAAAAGCGTTTAGAAGAAATTTCAATCCACATTTAAAAAAGGAAAGGTGCAATAAAATATACATGCATGTTATTTTTTGTAATTACATCGGTGCGCCTGCTTTGACATGAGCCACGTTTTATGTCTTGCGTGTATATTAATTATGTGACCAGTGTAGCAAGTGGCCAATGGCCTTTTTAAACGCGCGGCTTTAATAAATCTCAAGCGCTCAGGGCTCAGTCAGAAGAGTGAGAATCGAAAGTGAGCAGTGCAAGTGGCAGAAAAAGCCGGTTTGGAAAAAAAGGCCGAATTATTTATTTCGTCCTCGCCCGATTTTTTGCCGCGGCAAAAAGTGGCGTATGTGGGTCTAGGGAGTTTAAAAACGGCATCAAAGGCCAGGTCAGATATATCTGACGTCGACCGAGCAACTGCAACAAACCAAAGTGATTCGATCTCTCCAACCATGTGCAGTTCAATATGAAATTTAACAATAGGCGCAATGTTTGAATTTTGACTGTTCATAAATTTCATAATAATTTTCATTCCTGTTGAGTATAGGGAGTTGACAACGCAGTAGCGTTGATAAATATTATGATATTTTTTCGGACTAATGATGAATAATTTAGGAGGCAATTGACATTAAAAACTCACACCTTGACTAATACAAATTAAATTATTAGCAGGTGTTATCGCTTGACAATAAGGTGCTTTCTGTGCGCTACAAACTTATAACATTGATTTATTTTATTTTATTATATTATATTAATATCTTATAAGATATCTTGAAGTGATAAAAAAAAACTTTTATTTGCCCGTTTTTTATATATCTTGAAATTTTTATTCTTGATATTAATAATTTTAGTTCTAAGAAATTGGGTACATTGAAAAAATTTAAAACGATTATAATATAATTAACATTATGATTGTATCAGGTCTGTTTTGTTTGTACTGTCAACGTATTATATTTGATGTAATTCTCGGTCTTGCAACCGATCAAATTAGTAATATTAAACTTATGGTTGATGCATTTGGGCAGAGAGCAGGGGCAAAGAATAAACATTATTTGAAACTAATTAACTAAAAGATTGAAACCGGGCGAACATCGTTGCAAAGAAAAATGAAAAAATAAAGGACTAATGACCCCGAGAGGTGCCCTGCGATCTGCTGGTACTTTAAAAACCTAGGGTTTCTCGTGTTCAACTAAAACTAAGTGGGAGGAATTTAAAATAAAATTAAAAATAAAATTGGGACAATTTCACCAGATTAATGTGATTTTGCCAAAAATTTCTTTAGGTTTCTTGCCCTGGAAATTTCTGTAAAAGTCACAGTATGAAGCCATTGACTGACTCCTTTGCTTAATTAATTTCTGCAATTTTTGTTTATTAAATTAAATTCTCCCTATTTTATTTTTAATTTTTGTAAATTCCTCCCACTTAGTTTTAGTCGGACGCAAGAAACCCTAGGTTTTTAAAGTACCCGCAGACCGCCGCAGGTCGCCTTTCGGGGTCAGTTGTCCTTGTTAGTCTGTGTTTAAAATATTTAAGCTTTTCATGGGCCTGATCATACCTGAGAAATTGACAGTTAGGCAGCCAGCGCAACGCCGGTGTGCAGCAAGTTGAAAACATTCTATTAATTATTATCATTCTAATATATAATTATATATATTTTCCCAATGTTTTCTACATGTCATTTCCCAGGAGACGACACAAGAAAAATTAAAGGAAAAGTGAGAATGGAGTTTTCGAAAATATTATCATTGTTTCCTTTTGAAATTTTCAAAATTTTTATTTTTTACTCAAAATTGGCTGGGATAAAATTGATTAAAATATAAAAATTTCATCAAATTAAGTTCTTTATCAGATAATATCCATTTGTAACTTGAATTCCAAAATTTACATTAACGGGGAAACATCGTTTCAGCAGACGCTTTCCTAATTGTAAGTGAAACTCACGCTTCAAGGGGAAAATAGCAATTGAATCACACTCAAATTAATTATTAGACTTAAAAAATCCAGAATTTTTATAAATTGTTATTTTTCTATAACATGATCAAAGATGATGTTAATTATTCAAGCTAATTAAAAAAAATTAGGTGATTTTTTATTGCAATAATATTCTTCGATGTTATACATTTAAATTAAACGCAAATAAAACACATGAAATAAAAATAGTTGTTTAAAATATTTTGGGTAAAATTCTTTTAGCAGAACTGAAACTGAAATAGCACTCTCTTTGTCTTCTTTTTTTTTGGCTCTATTTCCTATTTCCTATTTCATCAGCGCGCGTGCGAGCCGCATGGTTTCTGTAGCGCAAGCTGGTGCAGGTTTCAACAGGAAAACTGCAAGCCAAATTGCGACTAGCCAGGGACGATATCTGTAGTAAATGGTCCCCATTATTTTAGAAATTTTATATAAATTTAAAATTTATGGTTGATGTTGATACAAAGAAAAATTTAAAATCAAATTTAAATTTAGGGTGTTAGTTTGAAGCAGAAAATTACACTCTCTGGGAAGAATTTCCTATTTGAAATGATATTGAGATACATAAATTTTGTTATATGCACGCAGACGCCGAACTTAAAGCTTGAATAAAAAAAATCAAAATCGGCAGGTGCATTTTTTATAAGGAGGAGAGGCTGATGGATGAATATAGCCGTTTTTGCTTATTTTCTCCCATTACTTAAACACCCTCCTCTGATTGTGAGATCACAATTTTGTGGCCGAACGGGCCGAACGGACATGTAGTTAAAAAAAATTAATTGCTATTATAAATGGTTTGCACAAACGTACACTAGCTCGTCACGCTTGACCTCCAATTACATTGCCATGGTAGCGGCCGCCCTAAAACATTCACAATAAAATAGACAGCAGGTGCACTGGAGAGGGAGAGACCGACAGATGAGACCGTATGGATAATTTTTTTGCTTTTTCTTTTTTGACTTTCTTCATTTACCCTCTTTGGCCTCTTCCGATTATTATTTGATAGCGTACTTACTAGACACAAACAACTTTTGTGCACGCGACTGGAATTATTGATCCGCGCGTCTCGCGGCTGCATGTTTTTTACGTTTTACCTTTTCATTTGTATCGTGTCCGTCATGGGAAGAAGAAACAGACGCTAACGTGGAAATGACCGCCAGCAAGTTGGGCCTGAAATTCGACGACCTTGGCAGGGTGCGGGTCGTCGACGAGGACACTGCAAACGCGACCAAAGAACTGCACGAGCAGAGCAGCGAACTACTCGAGAGTATGATTTGCTTTTCAACTCGAATCAGCGCCAGGAATGTTCAGTAATTCTGGTTTCCTCCGTAGACATCGGCAAGTATCAGAAAATCGCCGAAGACTTGGTTTCCGTGTCCGAAACTTTGGCCGAGCAGGTGGAGCGAGAAAAACTGACCGCTTTGCAGTCCAACATCAAATTGCAGCACGAGGTGGAGCACCGAGAAATGCTCAAACACCAACTCCAGGTTTTTTTTAAATTATCTAATTCAATCAACCATTTCAAACTTTTTTTAACTTAGATGCAGATTCTGGAAAAACAATCGGAACTGGAACGTCTGAATGCCGAGTACCACAATTTGCAAAGAGTTGAGCAGGAACAACAGGACATGATTGATCAGCTAGCAGCCTAAATTTAGTAAATTTTGAACACAGATTTCGACTTGAGACTTCATTTTATTGACAGAAATAATTCCGTTGTTACCCACAAAGCCTCACTAATAATCTAAAAACATCTTGATGCGAGCTAAGAGAGACAGAAAGGTGAATCATCCACCAATGGAAATTAAGCGTTTGCTTCATTATTTCTTGAGAATTATTACATTCAGCAACCAGCGCGTTTTTCATATACTCATGTAAGCACAAACTCTCAATTTTTTCACACACCAAGGGACTATTTTATAAATTATGGCAAAGGAAATATCAAGTGATGTGTATGAAAAAAAAAATCAAGATACCAGCTGGAACAACGAGTGAAAATAATAAATGAATTTCCATTCTGATAATTCAGAGAGTTTAGTCCCCAAAATAGAAACCAATTTTCAGAGTGTAAGCTCAATATAAAGTGCCTATTGCCCGGTGAAAGTGACACTTTTCAAGTGCATAGGTAGAGCCTGTGGTAGTCGTTGGCGCCGAAGGCTGCGTTGCACTTGGGGCACTTGCGCTGCCTCGTCTCGTAGCGAGTGCGCAGGCAGTCGTAGCAAAACACGTGGAAGCACTTGCTCAGCACCGCGTCCTTCCGCTTCACCTTGCACGAGGGACACGTCAGGGTCTCCTTATACTCGCGGATCTCCTCCATCATCACTTCGTCGGCAGTGCCGGCCATTTCGATCTTCTTCATTCTCTCCACCTTGCGTCGCAACTGGGCGATTTCCTCCTGGAGCCGTTTTGTTTTGTACGCCTCGGCTTCCAGGGCTGCCGTTTTCTCAGCCACCACTTGCTGCGCCTCTTTCATTTGCGCATGATACTTTTCTGCAATTGATTATTGCCAGTGAGTTATTTTTGCGTCATTTAATTTTAGCACAAACCTAAATGCAATTTCAAATCTGCTGCAGACTGAGCACTTTCAATGGCTTTACGCTTGTGCATTTCCATGGCCTGTTGCCGCAAATTCAATTCCTTTTCGGCAGTGGCCAACGAATTCTGCATAAACCTCTCCTTTTCCTCTAGTTTTCTTAAAACCTGCGTTTGAGCGTCAACATGATTCGACAATGTTGCAACCTAAACAAAAGGAACAAAATTAATTTAAACACACTTAAGATAAATCTGATTAAGTAGCAAAAATATATATTTTGATTTTCAAGAGATATGAAATTTGAGAAATCACACCTGGTCATTTAGAACTTGTTTCTCTTCGCGAGCTAATTTGTGTAGCTGATTTGATTTAATCCTCTCCGACATGAGTTTGAAGTTGGCGTCGTCCTTTTCCCTCAACTGCTGAATGAGCCTCGAGTTTTGCTCCTGCATGTCTTCGTAGGCCTGGCCAGTGACTTCCATCTCGTTCAGCAAGGCCTCCTCCTCCTAAAATACAACAATGGAGTGAGCAATTCGATTCAGGCGACCCTTGTTCCTATTCAAAACTGAGGCAAAAGGCAAAAGAAGAGAAGAAATGAAAGCTGTAAGGGTAGGCAATAGACGATGCATCAGCTTGATGTGCGTGGGCAACGTCTCAATTTTCTACAACTTACAGCCTGCCTCAGGTGGTGATTGGTGCGATTCAACTTCCAACTGGCATCTACCTGTTTGTGGGAAGCCACTTGCTTCTGCAGGCCACCGATTTGATCTTCGAGTTGTTTAATTTTGCGCATGGCATCGTCGTCTGCCATCCGCTTGCGTTCTTCCCGCTTGTTTTCCTGCAATTGGTAGTACTTCAGGACATTAAATTGGAAATCTGTGACATTGTAACTTTCCGGCAACGCCGTTCTCACCTGCATCTTTTTCATTTGCATGCGCAAATCGTCAACCTCCGCCCTGGCCTTTTTCTCCGCTGCCATCAACTGCACTTTGTCCCGCTGGTCTTTGCTCACTCCCTTGTACATGTCCAAAAGAAGTTTCATCTCCTTTTGATCATTCAGAGCTTTCCTAAAATGATAATTATTTAATCAATTGCAATCCACTAAGATTGAAATTGAAAAAGAAAAAAATAAATTGGGTGGTGCCTTCTGTACCACCAATAAAGGGCACAGGCCGACAAGACTTTGTCTTGGCCTGACCCTAATAAAAAAAAAAAAAAAAAATGAGACTTACTTTATTTGAGCCTTCAAGTCTCTCACAATTTCTGACTCCGCATTCTTCACTTCCTTAGCTTTTGGATCTTTGGCATCCTTTTCAGTTTTGATTTCTTTTTTGACTTCGGTGCTAGGTGGCGTTGTGGAGGCAGCAGGAGTTGGAGTCGAACCCTTTTCCTTTTTGACCTCCTTTTTCACATTTGAGGGACCGGCCTTTTCTTTGTCACTGCCTGTGCTAGCTGCATCACCTTCTTCATCCATCTGATAAAAAAAAATCTGGTTATATAAAAATCATCTTCAAGAACAGTGCAAAACAAACCTCTGCTTCCTCCTCGTTTTCTTTCGGGACCACAGGTTCCTCCTTAATTTGAACCACTGGGGCAGGAGTGACTGGCGTACTTGGCGATTCCTCTTTAACTTGCGCCTCCGCATTATTTGTTTCCTTGACTTCCGTAGGAACTGGTTGCTTGGCTTGCAAATCTTCCACCTCTTTCTTTAGCTAAATTCATAATCATGATATTAAAATGAAAATCAATAAGTTTATTTCAAACACACCTTTGCAATTTCAGTGGTTGTGTCCTTGAATTTCCGTTTGTATCGTGCAGATTCCGTTTTGAGTTGTGTGTTGTGGCTTTGAAGCGAAGTTATCAAGTGCCTCATCTCCCTATTAATTGGCCCAGTTTGTTCGTTTGCAGCTACATTGGTTTCAAACTCGATGCGCAGCATCTCGTATTCCTTCCTAACTTGCGCCAACATGTCCTCATGCTGGATTAGTTCTGTCCTAAGCTTTTTCTGTGCAGCTAGCTCGTCCAGCTATAAAATATGTCACTTAAATTTACAATCTTAGCTGTAAAAAAAAAAAAACACCCTACCTCCATCTGTTCGATCTGACGGAGATGAGCATTTTTGCTGTTTTGCAGTTGTTGTCTAGCATCATCGAGCAAAGTTTTCAACTGCATAGATTCGTTGTACAATACAGAGAACTGCGACTGCAGACACTTGTACTCTGTCGTCTCAACTATCACAGATTCGGGCAACTGACGAATCTGTTAAAATGAAAATTACTTCAACGCAAATTCCTCAAGTTCCTAGCAAAATTTACATCCATCTTGAGCTTTTCCACTTCTTTCAGAGCATCTCGGTGCTGCTGATGGAGGCGGTCCAGCTCTTGCAGACGGTTGTTGGCCAACTCTCGCTGTTCTTCGCACTCTTTTTGAATTTCATCAAGCTTTCGAAAAACAAATTAAAATTTATTTATTTCAATTGCAGAGTTTTGATGAATACCTTCTTTTGAGAAACACTTGAGACTGTCTTGACTGGCTGCTTTTCCTCCTCAATGGTATGCTCAATATTTTTTATCTTCTCCAATGCTTCGGCCAGGTGGTGTTCCAGTTTGTAATTCTGCTGCTGAACCTTGGAATGGTCGTACTGCAACTCCTCGACTTGATTTCTGAGTTCAGCGGCCTCAGTTTCCTTCCCAGTGATCATGTCCTGGTGTTCTGCTGCTTTTAAACTCAGGGCGTGATACTTTTCGTGAAGCTGCGTGTGCAGCGCCTGCAACCTCATATTCTCAGCTTGAAGTTCAATGTTAGTTTGACGAATTTGCTCGTCTAGGCTGGGAACATCCTCTGCAAGCAAAACATTAGAAAATTTACCATAAAAACGTTCGATTGCTTTACCTCCTTCCAATTCTCCTTTAAGAGCCATGGTGATTTTCTCATTGCGCTGCATTAGTCGATCAAACGCCTGAATGACTTTCGCCACAGCTCGTTTTGATACTTGGACCCGATTGGCGAGTTTTTCATCCAACTCCTCCTTGTCCCAGCTTGAGAGCTGCATTAAAAATGACGTCGTTGCTTCGTTTTCATCTATAAGAAATGTGTAAATAGGTTTGCAATTAAATTTTGACGTTTTTTACTTTTATTTTCAGATTCGTCAGCCGTCTCTGCGTCAAACCGTTGGAGTAAAACTCTGATGTCTTCGTTCAACTGATTCCAATACCTATTTACAACGTTAAGCACAGCATCGTCTTGAGTTTGACGCTTTTCGAGCTGCTCGATCCTTTGCCGAAGTTCAGCCTCTGTTCTCTGTCTTTGCTCTAACCTCTGAAATTTATTAAAAGGTTGAAGATTAAGAAAAATTCAAAAACAATATGTTTACAAAAAATTTTACCTGAGCTAATTTTTTGTTTTTAAACTGAAGGACTTTCATGTCCATCTCCTCTAGGGTGGACACTGGTCCGATTCGAAAGGCTTCGAACTGGACCTTTTTGAAGGGGGGCTGTGCCCCGGACGCTTCGCCCTCGGCCGGTCTTTTGGAAGCCATCGCGGCCGGGCTCCTGAAACATGATTAAAGAATTGAAATTTCAAACTGCACTTTACTCTAATAAGCGGTTGTTGACGCAGAGCTTGTGGTATTCGGAGCGTAGCCCAAGGCTAAATAAAGGCAAACAATAGAACGTCAAGAACCAGGGCTTGGATTTTTTTACTGCCGGTTTTCGCTCACAATTTCTAACCGTGCAGGCAAAAGCAATTGCTGAATTTGTCGTCAAAACGCTAAACAACACGATTCAGTTCTCACTTCTGCGAATATACCTTTAAATGCAGTCGAAATTCACTAAACCGGAATGACAATTTAGTCGGTCGTGTTCAATGTCGTGTTAAATAAAAAACGCAGTCCGCCGGATGGTCGATCCAATTTCTCGCATAAAACCAACGCCACCTGCTGGTTGAATTACGTAAGCTGATTTCAATCATTATTTTATTCTCAAATATTAAATATTCATAACTTGCGTCCTACGGATCCTAGTTTCAATCGGATTAATTTATTGCTTTAACTTCCAATTCTTTATATGCCAAGAAAATTTACGGAAATCCAAGTGAAATACCATAAAATTAATCAGATTTCAAAATTAAAAAATCGCGCTATTTTATCTCCTAGCTAAGTTGTTGCGAATTGACCGTACGCTGGCGCCCTCACGAAGCTGCGGCAATGCGCAAAGCACGGAACTTAAAAATGTCCGCTTAAAAAGTCATAAAAACGAGGTAGCGTGGTCGTATGCAAATGCGGCTCGGATGCGACGTTTCGCTGAAATTCCATCTTTTGTCAACTTTTAAAGATGCATTAAAGCAGAAAATTTCGAAATTGTAGGTAAGGCGGAGGAGATTCGTGCGAATCAATGCGAGTTTATTGATTTGCGCATCGAGCCATAGGTGTCTCTGGGCCTGGTGCTCGCAGCGTTCTTTTGTGCGCTTCGTGCACTAGTCGAGTACCCGCCAATCGTATCTTTCCAACTCTCCGTGTGCTCGCTACCAACTTCTTATGACGCCATTTTACCCCGACGAGGAGCAGTTCGCGCTGTGAAAATCGTCCGGGATGGTCGGCGAATTACGCGAGAGTGCCGGTCCACAGACGAATTAAATGACCAGCTAGTCTCCTGCGAATTGATCGCCAGTTCGAGTCGCTGGTAAGCCGCCCTCGCCACCAAACTGGCCCCCCAATTCTGGGTGTGTTTGCATCCGAGCTCGCCTTTCGCACCGAATCTTGCACCGAAGGCCCGCAGACGAGGTTTTGCAACATTTTGTAACCACAATTTGCCAATCGCCCTCGTCACTTTGGCGAACCCGGGATGCGATTCTGGCCTCGCCAGGGTTGAAATTCGTGTCCGAACGTGGGGCAGAGCCTGCAAAACACCCATTTCGGGCCTATGACAACAAACACGAGAAACTCGAATTTCGGCAAATTCGCACGAATTTCACGTTTTCGTGCAAATTTTTCCGCTCAAATTCGCAGGCCCGGCCGAGCAGCGTCACTTTTGCTGCGAGTCAATTCGCTCGGGCCAGAATTTCCGCATCATTTTTGCACTTTCGGCTTTGCAATGTGCATCACGTGCACCCCTTGCATTTGCAAAATTATTTAACTTGAAAATTGTTTAACTTAAAATTTATCAATTTTTCAAATTTTCCGAAGAACTTAAAAATTTCTTAATGAGAAAATGTTTTTTTTTTAACTTGCTCTATGATGTCTGACTTCAATTTTCAAATTTCTTTTTTTGCAGATTTGCTATGGAATATGATTCTGGATTGGAAATCACCGCTTTGACCTCGAGGAAATACAAAAAGCATGGGTTAGGTGGTGAGGAAGATGAGGTGCCGTCGAATTGGGGTGACATGCTCAACGGGCACCACGCGACGAGCACCCCGTACTACTTCCCGGAACTGGGACGGCCGCCGCCGCCGAGGAAGAAGGCTTATCAAAATCCAGCGGCCATCGAACTAGACGAGACAAGTGTGTGGTATGAAGACTCGCGGACTGCAAACCAGCAGCCGGTGGTTCGGTTTCGCTGTGCCAAGTGCGGTGAGGGCGGGTTTGAGACTCTGCCCGGCCTCAAGGACCACCAGAGGCAGTGCTTCAAGTACAGAAAAGTACACAGTGCAAATCGGACAAGACGGAAGGTCTATTTTTGCAACTCGTGCGGCACATACCACTCTGGCAGTGACTTATACCTGCACACACTACAGGTCTCTCTTGGTTTTGAGAACTTTTAATGGAAACTTTTGGAATGGAAAGAGAGATAGTGAAATGCAAATAGTCCTAGAGAAATTTCTTGATTTTTTTTTTAATCTATTTCATGAAGAGATTTTAGGAGTGAGGTTTTTTAAGGAAAAATTGTTATTTAAATTTAATTTGAAGGCTGAAACTCAATAGATATGTTTTTGGTTACTATTTTCTGTAGCAATCTTTATGAATTAAATTTTTCTAACTGATTGTCCAGATTTTGCGTAAAATTAGAAGCACATAAGCAACAATGAAGTCTTAAAAAAGCTTTGAATTTTAACTTTAATGCTTTAATTTCATTCGACTGGCTTTGGAAGAAAGAGAGATAGAGATATGCTGAAAGTCCAACAGAAATTTATTAATTATTTTGTAAATTAAGTGAAAATAAGATTAATTGAGAGGTTTTTAAGAGGAAAATATTGTTAATAAAACTAACTTTTTAAGTTATAACTTCTTGGTCATGCTTTTAGTTGAATTGTATATTATGGCCATATTTTTAAATTAAATATTTCCTTCAGTAAGCTTCAAAAAGGATTGTCCAGATTTTGCATTGCCAAATGAGGTATTTTTATTCTCTTTAATTAAAATCATCAATAAGTTTGGTAATGCGTTTGCAAACTTTTGAGATGAATATTAAATTTGTATATTCAACAGATATTTTTATATCAGCCTAGATTTTAATATTTTTGGGCTATAAATGAGTGAATATTATTAATTATTTTATAGTAAATCTAAAATTACATCTGTGACCAATTTTGTTTTTTTTTTCAGGCACATCAACGCCATGTGTGCTTGTTCTGTATGGCCACATTCATGAGGGCAGATAAGCTGTCGTACCATCTGCGAACAAGGCACAGACTGCCGAACGTCACCTTCTCCACGCTGACCGAATTCTTCTCGCATTTCACTAAAGGCTGTTTGCTGAGTTGCTGCTCTTGCAGTCGGTCATTCTCCGAGACGGACAACTTCTCTGGACACGAGTGTCAACGGCCAAAGAACAAATCGGCCAAAATCGAGTCGTACAGTGCGGGAGAAAACCACCGGCACCCAGCTAGTCACTCAGGCTCCAACTTCACCCTGCCGCAGCTCAAAGACGTCACAATTATTCCCATCAACAAAGGCGGAGCCAAAAAAGAGGCCACACAACAATCTGCTGCGAAAACGCCCAGTCTCAAGATTAAACTCAGCCTGCCCAAGAAGGGCAAGAAAAAAGAAGTCAGGACCCCTCCAGCCCCGACTGTCCTCGAACCGCCAACTATTGTAGACGATTCGGCCACGTTTGAGACTCCTATCCGCGTGAATGGTGAAAGTTTAACCGTGGATTCGGATTTGTCGAAACATGAGGAATCCGACTGGACGCAAAGCGAGTTGCCCTCTGTCGAGCCAGCGCCACCTGAGCCTGAGCCAGAACCGCAACCAGAACCAGTGGTAATACAAAATAAAATGAATCAATGTTGTGAGTCACTGAAAAGGCCAAACTATTATCAATATTATTCAATTACTTCATCCTTGTTCAATTGTTCTTCAATTCCAATTGAGACAAAAATTTGAATTAATGTATAATACCTTTTCTGAAACTTCTCTTAGATATTTTGAAATAAGGAAAATGAAGCATTAAAAATTGTCCACTAAACTCCTGGTAATTTAAAGCAAATTATTCTAACTTTATTTTTTCTAGGAGGAACCACCGCCTCCTCCCCCTCCACCAGAGGAGGAAATCCAACTGGCTGGCGAGGAAGCCCCTCTGATTGATCTCTTCATCATCAAGCCCATCGACGAGCTGCAGATTAGAGAATTGCTCAAGCAAGCCATAACTGAGGCATGCAGCACATGTGTCTACTGCAGCCATGCAGTCAAAATTGCCGTCAATGGAAGGCAGCTGGCCCTGCATCTGTTGTCTCATCACAGGTTCCAGCTTATCTTCAAAAACGCACCACTTCCTTTAGAGACCTCCATTGAACTCATCAAGAGCAAATTGCCTGAGCTGGAGAGCTCCTTCTTCAACTGCGATTCATACGACAATGCCCTCACACCCGAAGAGCAGCCAAAGTTCATGAGGCATTACGAATGTTTTCAGTGCAGGTAAATTAAATATATTTTTAATTGAAACGAGTACCTAAATTTTAATCCCTTCCACAGATATGTAACTCTTCTGCACAAGGAGCTTTACATCCACAATCGGAAGATGCACCAGAAGCACAGTCTCGTCTGCACCATGTGCAAGACCAACTTTTTCAACTACAGTGAACTGCTTTGCCACCTGTGTCCAGGCGTGTACCTGGATAACCACAGTACAAAGTTCCGGTGCTGCTTCTGCAGTGTGGACGACCTGCCATCCTCATTCCGGCTCATGGTGCATTTGCGCAAGTGCCATCTTTCGTGCGAGGTGTGTCTGGAGGCGACGCCCGATCAGTCCAAGTTGTCGGTGCACGTTTGGAAACACAAACTCAACCACTACTGCCATAAGTGTTGCATAGCGTACCGCAACAAGACAGACATGACGAGGCACCTATTCTGGAAGCACGGCACCGAGAGCGTGACTTGCAAAAAGTGCATGCAGAAGAAGTGGCCGTATGTTTATCACTTCTGCATACCGCCCACCGAGTTTTCGTGCGAGGAGTGCGGCTCAACCTTTGGCAGGGCAGTTGCTCTCAAAGTCCACAAAAGGTTCAAATTTTACTTAATTAATAAAACGATATAATTTTTTTTTTAAATAATTCAAAAATATGTGATGTTTTTGTTTTTTAAGTTCTATCAAATGGACCATTTTTTTCATACTTCAAAGTATTTTAATCTTTTCTTTAAAATTGTAGAGCGTTAAATATATTTGTTCACTCTAAATTCTGATTCATTTAATTTCTGTTTCAGAATCCATACAAATGAACTGCTATACCCTTGTGGTGAGTGCAATGAAAGCTTCATTTCCCGTAAACTGCTGGCCAGGCATGACATAACAGTCCATAATCCTCCTCCTCCTCCGTCACCTGTAGAGGATAAGAAGGAAGAACCAGATGTTGATGTAGATGTGATGGAGACTGATGGTGAAAATTCTTTTCCGTTTGATACGACCACAAAATCTGAACTGGAGCCAGACGGTTCCGCACAGCTGGAAGCTGTCGAAAAGAAAACCACTCCCAAGCGAGATGTGTATGACTTGCCTCCGCTGAATCTGTCCTCTGACAGCGAGACAGACTCTGACACTGAAGATGCTGCTGCAAAAGTGCCAGAAACGCAGCCTGCTGAAGAAAAGCGTTCAAGTGAAGCCAAAAATTCGGTAGAACCTGCAGAAATACAGACTAATGCAGTTGCTCCGATAGATTCAGTTTGGGACAATTTTAAAGATCAGTCAGATGAAAAGAAAGAAGAAATTGCAACAGCTCAGCCCGCGGTTCCTATGGAAGTTGTTGAAGTTTTAGCAGAGCCCCAAGAGCCTCCAGCTGAGGTGACAGAAACTCCTGCTGTGGTTGAAGAACCAGAATCGCCTGCCCCGATCCTGCCACCTGAGGAGCTTGCTGAACTGGTCCAGTATGACCACGATTATTTCACTGTCCAGGCGTACGCAGAGGGAGAGGAGCCGGTTGACGAACCACCAATGCCGGTAATAGAAGACTTTCAGATACCATGCGATATGATCCTTGCCAGTTTCACCGAAGGAATACAGCTAAGTCCTCCCAGGCATTTCAAGCGGAAAAGGCAAAACAGCTCTGGGTCTTCTTCGGACAGCAGTTCCAGCAGCTCGGACAGCGATTCCAGCTCTTGCAGTTGCTCTAGCTCCAACTGCAGTTGCGGCTCGGGTTCCTCAAGCAGCTCGTCTTCATCAAGCAGCACTTCTGATTCTGAATCGGAGACTGAAAGGAAGGCCCGCAAGTTGAAGAAGAAATTGAAGAAAAAGGCCAAGGCCGAGCAGAACCTTCAGAACGGAGTGGCCGATGAGGAAGGGAAGGAGGAGGAGCCCATCGACATTGGTCCCCCAGTTCTGTTCTTCCACGAGTCCGACTTGGACACCAATGAGTCTGCCTCGGATGACGAGAACTTTTACGACGAGCATCCTCGCAAGATCGGCCTCAACAGGCCGACCACCCTTTCCTCCATTTTCTCACCCTCCATCACTCCCGCGCCTACCCCTCCGCCAAGCCTCGAAAACGGCGTGGCCGGGGGCAGCATGGCCAACTTGGACACGGTTCTTCCGCAACACCAGCAGTTCAAATCCAAGAGCAAGAAGAAGAAGCGGCAGTCGCACACCCACACGTCGCCGTCGCAACCGCCCACCAAGAAGAAGAGGAAGGACCGCTGGTCGCCCGACGCCATCTACGAAAGCAACCTGCGCTTCTTCCTGGCCAGCCAGGGCAAGGCCGTTCCTCCCCCGCGGCCAGTGCAGGAACCTGCCGACCTGGGCACCGAAGTGGCCGAGGATGGCAGCAGGTCGTCCAAGCGCAAGCGCGTGCCCAAAAAGTTCTACGGTGACACGGACGACGAAGACTCGAGTCAGAACATGATGTTCTCGCCGCTGGTGGCGACCCCCGCGGGGCCCCCGCGGCCTGCCAAGAAAAAGTCGCGCTCCTCCAGCGTGGTGTCAGACAACACAACCCCCCAGCGCGTCCTGTCGCCGCGCGAAATGACCGTGTCCGAACGCCTGCTGCAGGAGACGCTGGACTTCGTGGCCGCCGGACGCGACGGCAAAACGGCCGACGACCAGGAGTACCGCGGACGTCCCAAGCTGGTGTTGACCCTGCCAACAGGGTCGTTCAGTCGGTACAGCCAGGAGGCGCCTGAGACTTCCTCTGAGGAGGAGGAGGAGGCGTACGACTCGGACGATGAGGCGGAGCCTGAACCGGCACCCCCTCCTCCCCCTCCGCAAGTCGTGGACAACCTGGAGACCTTCACCAGGGCGCACCCGTCCGAGATGCAGACGCTGGACAGCAAACTGTACTGCTACTGCCGGTGTCCATACGACGAGGTGTCCGAGATGATTGGGTGCGACGACCACGACTGCGCCTTCGAGTGGTTCCATTTTGACTGCGTGGGCATCACGGTGCCGCCGGTGGGCACCTGGTACTGTCCCGAGTGTCGCAAGAAACAAGCTTTAGCAGCTTCATAGCAATGAAACGCTTATCGACTGGACTCTCGAGAGTATTAAAACAGAAAATCGGACCGTAGCCGTGAAAGGGGCGGGAATGAAGAAGAATTTGCTGCTCACTAGTTGACTCTTGTTTTGTTGGATCGTTTTTCCTTCTCAATCTCATATAGAGCTGTTGCGTTGCATTATTATTTATTATGTGCATTTAAAAAAAAACGTCTCTGTGTTTGACGGGCAGCAGAGTACAACGTTGAGGACCTGAAATCGATTTCCCTGCCACGATCCAGCAGAGGGAAGTGGATTTTAATGTGGCTAAACAGCACGTAGTAGACTAGTTGTACAAATTAAACGTCGAGCACACACACACACTTGTTTTCCTCGTCTCATTATTCTTTTTGTAAGATGACTGATGGTGTAGAATGATTCTGCGTGCAGCGGCATTTCGCCTATTTTGAACTGATGTCCTGTCCATGCCGGCGCCGAGAGTGTAGTAGTTGTTTCGAGCAACCATCGTGGCCACTTAGCATTTTATTCTCGGTTCGGCATTCTAAAAGAAAATAATCGCAGTGTATAAAATACTATCGGATCTATTTGCGGCATTTAACAGAAAATTGAAATCCTACTTTCACCAGGCAGACTGCTCGCAACCTGTTTGCAAATCCAGCCCCTGAAATTATACCCTTCAAGTGTACATTTGAGTTGCAATCTTTCAAAAATGGCAAGTGCATAGTTTTACGGGAATCATTTTTGTGATACATGAATAAAATTAACAAGATCCTTTATTTCCGCATTTCATTTCTTTTACAATATAAATATAAAGTCAGACGAAAGATTATTTAAATTTTTCTGATATAAAATAAAAATTACAGAGGAATTGAGAAGTTTCAGTGAGACTTGAGACTACTAATAATTCGAATAATTCTTTTAATAAGAGCGCATTTGCGTACAATATGCACTGCTGGAGCAGCACTACAAAAAGAACATTCAGCACCACCTATTATGTACTCTATGTAGCAGTGGGAAGCACAAGCATACATTGGGACTGTGTTAATTTTTCTCAAAGTATTAAAGCTCCGCCAATTTTATCAGAAAATAAATGTCGAAATTTAATATCGTCCACACCTCTTCTTGTACTTCTCCACTACACATAATGAGAAGGTCGCGGCCGCGAGCGGTGCTCTGGTGGCGCAGACGGGAGACGTCAACAGAAAACATGGCCGCGTTCTGTTGAGGATTTTCTTTGTGTTTGCCAAGTACAATTTCACCATTTTAGGCCAGAATTCAAATTGAGATCATTGAACGGGAGCACCGGTACGTTTAACAAGTATTTCACCCCATTTCGGAAATTGAATTTCCGCTTGGCGACCCTTTTGAAAGCCGGGAAAAGAGATTCGGCTAACGTGACCCTTCATTCGCCAACTCTCTGCATTGCGAAGGGCGTTTGATTTTAACATCATTTGCAATTATTTTAATACATTCAACAACAATTTTCAGCCGAAGAAGGGAAATGATCCATCCTGCAGTGTCTGTCCACCAGCTGCCCAGAAACCAGCAGCCACCGAACAACACTGGAAACAGGTGAGCGAATTTTACGATCGACCAGAATTCGTTCAGTCCGAGTGACGAGGATTTTTGTGTTTATTTTAATTGAAATGGTCGATTCTAGGATGCCGCACCACCAGATGCCGATGCGAATGCCGCAGCCTCGCCTAGCTGTGCCGCAATCACACCCTCACCTGGTGATGGGTCTGCAGCCGTCTCCCGCAGGAGTGCAGATGGTGCCAGTGGCCGCTCCCCTCGTGGCCGCCGCCGTCGTGTCGGCGCCCGAAGAGCCGCCACGGGCACCAGCAATCGTCGTGGCCGCTCCCCAGCAGGTCACCAAGGCAGAGTCCGTCTCCGACGCGGCCGAGAGCGAAGCCTCCGACGAGGCGGCCTCTGCCTCCCAACTACCCAACTTGGCAAACACTAAAGAGAAGACACCCATGTGCCTGATCAACGAGCTGGCAAGATTCAACAAGGTGCTCGAGATCAATTTCTAGAGTGGATAGAAAACTAAAATTTTGGCTCACTTTGTGCAGATAACCCACCAGTACAGACTGACCAGCGAGACAGGCCCAGCACACAAAAAGCAGTTCACGGTTACGCTGCTGCTCGGCAGCGAAGAGTACACTGCGGAAGGCGCCAGCATCAAAAAGGCGCAACACGCGGCAGCAGCCAACGCTCTGGTCAAGACCCGCTTTGAGCACCCTCCACCCAAGACGCAGCGGGTGCTCAAGGTATTAATAAAAAATTTAAACAAATTATGAATTAATTGGCAATCGTTTTTAGGTGCATAAAGCAAATGTGACGCCAACCGTGGAGTTGAACGCATTGGCGATGAAGCGCGGGGAGCCGACCTCGTACACAATGCTGGAGCCACTGCCCAGTCAGTTCCCGCCGGTCTATCCGCGGGGTCTGCCCTACCAGCGCTTCCACTTCAACAAGCAGCTCGTGTACCCGCCGGCGCCCCCTCCCGTCTTCTATGCCACTCTCAAGGTGGGCGAAAGGGAGTTCCCCGGACAGGGAAAAACTGCCCAGGCGGCTAAACATGATGCTGCCGCCAAGGTGAATAAATATCTTATTTTTTTCCTTATTTTGACTGTTGAAGTGAAACTTCAATCTCACATGTAAATTATCTTCTACAGGCGCTTTTGGAACTGAAAGCTCTTCCGCTGCCCGAAAACAGTGGCCAAGAAAATGGCCAGGTAAAATATTTTTTGAATATTTTAACTTCAAGTTTTTCATAATTAAAAGTTTAAGGATAAATTGAAATCTTTACTTTTTTATGAAAGATATATTTTTTTTTTAAATTGCAATCATATTTTAAAAATCATTAAAATAAAATAATGTTATCTTTCTAAATTTACTTATCCATTTTAATATTTAATTTCCATCAGGGCAAGGAGGACGAAGATGGGTGCAACCTGAAATCGCCAATTTCCCAGGTGCACGAGATGGCTTTGAAAAGAAATATGGCTGTGACTTTTGAGGTGATCAAAGAGAGAGGACCTCCGCACATGAGGACCTTCCTAACCAGCTGCAAAGTGGGTGACATAGTGACCGAAGGAGAGGGTAATAGTAAGAAGGTTTGTAATTTTCTAAATTTACCATGAATTTTACTTAAATTTATTTTTACATTTAGACGTCAAAGAAGAAAGCAGCAGAAAATATGTTGGATGAGCTGAAAAAGCTTCCTCCAATGAGTCCCCCTGAATTGGTGATTCCGGTGAGAGCCAAAAAGAAGCAACCTGTAGTCAAGAAGAAGACGAGGAATCTGATAAAGGTTGCGCAGGTAGTTGACAATATTCATCTCTGAAATTTAAGTTGAACTTTGTAACTTTGAAGGAGCCCAAGGGCAAGCAGGAGGGATTGGAGGAAATCAATCCCATATCTCGACTCATCCAAATTCAGCAGGCGAAGAAGGAAAAAGAGCCCGAGTACACTTTGGTTGAAGACAGGAACAACTCGAAAAGGCGTCAGTTTGCAGTCATGGTGAGCGTGGGGGAGTTGTGCTGCACAGGCTACGGCCCCAACAAGAAAATGGCCAAGAGGTCTGCCGCCGAAGCGATGCTCAAAACGATCAACTGCGGCGGCACCGAAACTCCTGCAGACCCCAAAAACAAAAAGGACAAAACCCGAAAGGTTCAAAAACACTTTTATCTTGATCTGGCTTTAATTAGGACAAATTTCAGGTGAAGTTCCAGGACGAAGCCCTGGTGGAGTCGAAGGAGCCGCCAAGCCAGCCGGGGGGCACCAGTGGCCGCCAGCTGGTGCCCGGCTTGTTGCTGATGACTGACGGAGCCGCGGCCAACGGCCAGGCGGGCGGCTCCGCAGTCAAAGGGGCGGCCAACCCTGTTTGCCAGACCACTGCCCTGATCGCCAAGGAGCTGCTCAACTCGGGCAGCTCCCCAACGGCCGAGGCACTTGTCACTGCAGGAAAGATTTCAGGCTCCGCTCAGAGCGGCCAAACCAGTCCTCCGGAGGCCGCGCCAGCCCCGGCCGCGGAGATTAGTGCTGAGCAGGACGCGGCAGGTCAGGCAGCCAAGCCCAAGGAGCTGCTCAGCTATCTGGCCAAGCTGCTCAAGTTCAGCGTTCAGTACACCGATTTCCCGAAGGTATTTCAAATTAAAATTTCCAATTCTTTAGAGATTGAGAAATTTTACAGAATAAAATCATTAACTTGTACTATGAAATTTTCAATTTTTCCTCTTTATCTCTTAGACAATTAAAAATGGATCTCTTAGGAATTAAATTAAATTACAATAATTTAAGTTAAATAAATTGCTGCTAACCTATTCGATCTAATTGAAATTACATTTTTTCATTCCAGGTGAACCAGAGCGAGTTCTTGAGTCTGGTGTCCCTGACCACAAACCCACCCCAAACTCATCATGGCGCAGGACCTACCATTGAAGCCGCTCAGGAAAGGGCCGCCCACACTGCTCTGAGGGCTCTTTCCGAGTACGGATTCAACACCGCCAACCTCAATCTCAAGGAGCAAGAGAAAAACGAAAACTAAGCAGTTTGTTTTCATCAGCTTTAAAAATTCCAAAATTTTGCTCCATTAATTTTGGTTTTGCAGAAATTCATTGTCCAGCGGATGGCTCAACGATGCGGCCATGTATCGCCCAACAATGCAAGCCTCCAGTGCGGAGGTTTGCATTGTTGTCCACCTACGCTATCTTCTGTTCAGCAACCTAAACTAACATTTGCTGTCTCGTGCTGCGCCTTTACTCAACTAAAGCATTTTGTTGGCCTCGACGGAGGCGGCGGCCAGGCCCTGGAGGCGGCTCGCGCAGCAAGAGCCGCCCTCAGCCTCGATTCTTCACTCATGAAGTTCTCTGTGTCAAGCATCTTGGTGTGTCCGACTAGTGTCGGTCCTGTGTACTCTTACTTAATTAGCCTTTGTGTTCTTAGTTCTCATTTGGGCAGAGTCACCCACGGACGCACCATTTGTGTCAAACAATGAGGAGACATAACTTTCCCTCTTTTATTATCCTTTATCAAGCTGCCAATAACCGGTGCAGATTTCTTTTTGACTTTTTCCTTAGCGGATAATTCAGTTTATTTGATTTTACCCTTAGGAGTTTTCACTTTTTTTCTGAATTTTTACCGCACTTGTCTTCATAGAATTGGATTTGAATTAATGACTTAGCGGACTTGGTGCCTCCATGGGTCGATTTTGGCACCCTTAGAATGTATTAACCTGAGGAGCGCGTTCCTCTCTGATGAGAAAAAAAAGGAAAATATGTAGCTTGTTGGTTGTCGAGTAGAGCGACAGGGGTGGCGTCGCCGGCCGGCCCTTTGCAGCAGGCGTCGCCACCCAAAGTATTAGGCCCGAGGGCCCTGCCAAGGACGGGGGCTCTTCTCCTTTTTGGCTCCATACTTCTCACACAGTGAATTTCATGTTATGTTTTACCTTTGAGCTTTTAGACCAGCAGAGAGGCCACCGCGCCAATCTCAAACTTCCCGACCAACCATTTAAAACTGCAAAGCTGGAATCTAATCAAAAATTGTGGCCAAGAGATTGGCGCTGGCCCTCTGCTCTCTTGCATAGCTTCAAAAATTAAAAAAAGGAAATACTATACCACGATACTGGTTGTTTAATTTGAAAAACCATTTGCTCATCAAAAATCCAAATTGTACTCTATATTAACTTGAAAAAAAATGATTTTCTGAGATGCAAAATAAATTTTACTCTCCTTAGAGAGATTATATAATTATTGCGGAATTCATTTCAAAGCTCAAAGCCGCTCTATCGTTTTCGTCTCCTCCATTTACTCTCTCTAACTCTGCTCTAACCCTTAGGAAGCAGCTGAATTTTTCTGAATAAATTTCATCATTCTGGATTTGTTCTAGAATTCGCATTCGCACTATAGAGACAACACAACTAACTGCGCGTGCGCGCTTTTCTAAATAAGCAACCGCTATGGATCTAATATGAATATATGAACCTATACATAGGTTATAAAAGCAAAGCAAGACTTTTTGAAAGTCTTAATAAATACATAGCATCTATTCCGCTTTAAAAGCCAGCCGGCAAGCATTGCATGGCATCCATTCTTCTTTGTCTGCAGGGTCAGCGTTCATACGTACATTACTTTAAAAGGTAAGAACTACTAATACATAAAGGGGTAATTTGTCTCTTATATTATTTAGCCCGGGCTGGGTTTCTTTAGCTTACAATATTTTTAAATTATTTTCAATATCCTTTCATCGAAAGGACAGCAAGAAAAGGAGAAATTTATACAAAATTCCGCCACGTTCAATGTTAGACTTTTCATGAAATTGCATGAAATAATTATTTACAAGCAGATGACCACTTTGTATTTATTTTCCAATATATATATGATAAATGATCGGTTTCGGGCCGTGATCGGTTATTGGCCGGGTCCATGTAAGAGAATGCGCGCGCATCACAATGCTTTTTAAATGGAGCGGCCAATAACTGATTTTGGCCTATAACCGATTAAGCATCAGCATCATACACAATGTTGTATGTTATGTTATTACATTACATATTAAGACTTTTTTTATCCAGGAGGGCATGACGTAGAGATCAAGAAACTGATTGGTCGTACTCTGAACTCTGAGGTGCGTAGTCGTACATATCGTGCGAGGTCTTCACACGGACGGGTTGATCTCGTCTCTCCGCTCCTCATCACCAAAATTCCTTCTCTCAGAAGCTGCCCGCAAATCATTTGGATCTTCAGTTCATAGTCTCTCTTCAAGCAGCCTATTTGATAAAAGAGAGAGATGGGGATTGCACGCGACGGCGGCGACGGTAATTCAGCCTCATCAGCAGGAATGTCTCCTGAGAGGTAATTCAGAAAATTTTAATTTTCATTGTGTGGAAGAATTGCATATTACAAAACGCTTTATTTTAACGGACATGGTTGTTTTTTTTTCATTGTTTTCAAACTAAAATGGCCAATGGCAAATTTCGTCCCTCAAAGTAATAATTGCATCATTGAATCCAACCGTGGCCAAAAACTGATCCTGATATGTTGTCTTATTGTTATTTATTGCATTAATGATTCATCATTAATTTGAGGGAAGAAATAAGCCACTATTGAATTAAAAATCTGCCTAATCATAATTTTTCCTCTTTATGTACCATAATTATATACAAAACAGACAACAGACCCCTAAAAACGATACGCATATTTATGTACCAGTCTTTGCAACGTTGTAATATACAATTCTACACGAAGTATTTTGAGCGCAAATATAATAAATTGAAATGAATATAATTTGTGCGGCAATCCTTTTCTAGGACTGCCTCATTGTCGCAGGAGCAGCAATCTGAGGCAAACAACTCGGCGATCATCATGACGTATGCAGACGCAGACGTCTCAAAGTTAAATCTCGACATCACACTGCACCGCTTGCTCACTTTCCCAACTAATTTTGAAATCGATTACCGTCATTCCCAACCACTGGCGGAAGCTGGACTTTTTTGGGATCGACATCAAAAATCAATTAAGTGCCGGTTTTGCAACTTTTATACCAAAGAAACAACAACATTTAGGGGCAAGACTGCACAAGAGATTTTGAATTTGAAGCGGACGATTTGTGCCATCGGCCAAAAATCATCAAGAAATGTCCCGCTTGGAGGAACTGCGAATTATAAAATTGAAGCTCATCGAATTTATTCTCTGCTGGAAAAAGACTGGAAATTTGTCACGCCTTTCGATTTGGCCAAATGGGGATTTTACTACACCGGCCAAGATGACAATTGCCGATGCATTTACTGCAATTTGGAAGTGCGTGGGTGGGAAAAGGGAGACACGCCGGAAATGGAACACAAAAAGTGGAACCCTAACTGCTCCCTTTTGATAAATCCGGCGGGCGTCCAAAACATAAAGATTGGAGAGGAGCAAATGGAAGCATACAGCGACTCCGTCGGTGCACTTCCCAATCCTGGACCAAGCTCGTTCATTGTCTGTTCAATTTTGAACTGTCCCACCCCTGTAACGAAGCAGAATGGACCATGCGGATGCATCAACCTTTGTGATGCATGCAAAGTCAACATCAATGTGTGCCCAAACCCAAATTGTGGTCTACCAATCGAGGATCACGTTTTGATTCCACAAAATTAAGTAAATTAACTCTTCCGCTGCCATTTTTAAGTTAAAAATTATTGTTTACATTATTGTCCCACACACACACACACACAAACGCTTTTCGATCTTAGTCCAGTGCCTTGGCGTGCGTCTCACTCAAATAATCCTTTGTTCATATTGTAATTCGCGTGTGAAAAGTTAATTTGCCCTGCGGACACGTCAACCTTTGTAACGGATGCAATGCTGATAGGTGTCCAAAATGCATCCTGTAATCAAGAAATTCCAGCTTTCATAATATTACAACCGGCAATTCTCCCATCGGGTACCAATGGTGCTTGATGCACCATCAAAGACAAGGGGGATAATATCCCTCTGTTTTTGCCGACAATATTTTTTCAACTTTTCGAGTTTTGCTTTTTTTTATTACTCTGAAACGCAAGAACGCGTTTAGTCTGAAAATTGTGGGGGAAAAACGTGATAGTGGTATTTGTTTTCATTTCAATAAGCTTAGGGAATACATATGTTTTCATTTGTCATTGTTTTATTCAAAAAATATAAATATTTTATGTTCTTATTGTGAATTTGAATAATCACGCTCACTATGAAATGATCCTTGCTATGCTTTTCTGCACATAGGTTATTGGAGAATTTTCAGTACTGAGTGTTTCATTGTATATTTAACATAATAAATTTAAGTTTTGATACAGTTAAATAATAATTAGGTTTTAATTTACTTTCAACTTATAGAATAATGATAAAATTATATTAATGTCTAAAAATTCATCCAACAAATTCATCGACTAAAGATTTAATTGGATTTAATTACTATTCAATGTTTTTCTAAATATTTGTGACTTCTCAGTCAATTTTGGTCTCATCACATTTTGATGTGAGGCGGCAAATATATTATTAAATTGATATTTAAGATGATTTTAATTTTATTTTTAACTTGAAATTTAAAAATGTGAATAGATTTTTCCTCTTCACTTCTATTATCCAAAGCAATGCGAGATTCAAAGAACATGATTAAACTTTCATTTTTCATTTATACAAAACATCAATTAACAATACAAAAAAGTTCTTTTTAAGCACATGTAATTTTTTTTTATCAATTTTTGTCACTTTTCTGATGTCAACTGAACTGAACCCTATAGAAGATTTTTATCAGTGATAAACATTTTATCCTGAAAAACTTCAAAATCTAAATTTTGCCTCTCAAATAGGTTAAAACAAGAAAGAAGGAAATTTGATACCGATTGGATTTATTTTTTCTATGAATCACAAATTAAAAAAAACGTTTCGCACTTAATTGGTTCAGTCTTGGCGTGCGTCTCACTGCTTGGCCTTGTTCTGGATGGGCAGAAAGAGTTTGAACTCTGCGGGCAACTCGTCCTCGGAGTAGAGCCTGTCGGAGAAGTAGACCCTGCGGATGCGGCAGTTGGCGTGGATCTGCACGCGCAGCGTCTCCACGTAGTTGGTGCCGTAGGCGCGGCGCGTGAAGTCGGCCAGGTTGAACTGGATCTGGTTCCAGCCGTCGTCCAGCCGCATCGGCATCGTGCAGATGAACGGCTTGACGCGCGTCGTCGACTGGTAGTTGCTCGCCCGGAAACGCCGACGCACGTTCTTGTCGTCCAGCACCTGCCAACATAAAAGTTCTAATCAGTAAAATAATCAAAGGTTCCAAAAATTAACTAAAATTGAAGGAGCTTTAATAAAGTCTTGTAATTATTACAGTGAACAATATTAAAAATTTATCAATTTTTAAAATGTTAATCCTTATTTACAAAAGAAAATACGACATTAATAAAATTAATTAATAAACATAAATTAGATTTTTTTGAGCTAATTAATTTAAAAGAAATTTGGATTTTTTTATTAATTGTTCTAAATCAGCCTAATTAAAAGTTGTGAAAATTATCTAGAGTATAAATTAAAATTATAGCTCTTTAATTATTTTAGTGAAAAATTATTAAAATTTTATAAACTTTAAATGCTAAAAATATAAGAAATTAGAAATTCCCCTCTGGATTTTGAAATTAAATTGATATGAGATATCAAGAAGCAAAATACTTGGTCAAAAATCTCAATGTATTCAGAGAACTGACTTTATATCCAATTCTACAAGGATGGACCCTCCATTGGGAAATTGTTTCACAACTTTTCTTTTTCTATCTTCTTCACCTTTTCATTAAAATAACTACACCAGATGAGTTATATTACATTTTTCAAAAGTTTAATTATTTGGATTTGATTTGGAATAGGTTATAATTTTTTAACACCCTTTTGATATACCTTCTATAAATCTGCTCTATATTTCATTTTTTTTTTCAAATATTTTAATTTTATAATTCTTTAATTTTTTTTGTTCAATAAGCCAAACAAATTTCAATTTAGCTTTGGGACAAAATTATCAAAGACTTTTTAAAAAACAATTAAAAAGTCATTGCTTCAAGTCTATATGTAAAATTCAAGTTATTCAGTATCGTTAAAAACGAAATTAAAAGTAAATCAATTGTTCATAGACTTTGTGGATAGACTTATAAATCAAATGAGTCTTAGATTTTAGTTAGTTCCTTCCGGTTTTTCTTATGTAATTGTGGTCAAATTACACCATTGACATTTTTATTAATTGAATTAGCACTTATGTATTTATGAAATTTAAGACGAATGAAGATTTTATAAAATTACATAATTATTCCTTATAAACTGCGCAACCGACGATGAGAGATGAATTTCAAATTATTTTCTTTCTATCATGTCAAGCATTTCCTAAAATTATTCCCAAATTGTAAAAAGAAAATTTAAACAGTTTTTGCAAATAAAAGTTTTCATTTTTTGCAAATAAAAAATATCTATATCCTCTCTGACTAATGCAAATCTAGAAATTTCCCCTAGGAAATATGATATCATGGCCTACTAACAACCACAGAATAAAGTCTTAGTTTTCATGCGCTCATATAATAAAAGCAGCCAGCACACTTTTTACGTCATTCAACTACGGTGCCTCCTCTACCGCAGCAGGCATTCAACTTGTGAGGCATTTTAAAATAACCGCGAGGCGAAATGGTTTTGTATTGTACAGACACAGGGAAGAGACCTCCTGACTGGTAAGTTGAACCAACAAAATATAAATTATTAAAACAACTTGACGCATATATTGTGCATAAAAGATTTTCAAAAAATTCTAAAATCGATTGTTTTTTGTTTTAAAAAGGTCATGGCATCAAATTATAAACGGTGATGATTCAAGCGGCGGGCCTGCATCATCATCGCAGCAGCCTTTGACGGTGACTCAGAGCGAGGCGGAAAATGTGTATAAATGTAATGGTTTAGATTTGATTCTCGACATCGCACTGCACCGCTTGATCACTTTTCCTGCTAATTTTGGAATCGATCTCCATCCACTGGCGGAAGCTGGACTTTTTTATGATCAAGTTAGAAAAACTATCAAGTGCCACTTTTGCAAGTTTGAAGCCAAAAGTGCAGCGTGTTTTAAAGGCAAGAACGCGAGTGGAATTTTAAAAATGAAGCCGAATTGTGTCATCGGCCAAAAATCTTCCAAAAACGTCCCAATGGGGAACATAAATAGTGTTTTGAATTACAAATACGAATCTCATCGACTTTATTCGCTGCTGAAAAAGAAGGACTGGAAATTCGTGACGCCCGAAGATTTGACGCGATTGGGGTTTTACTACACCGGCCAAGAGGACAATTGTCGCTGCATTTACTGCAATTTGGAGGTGCGCGGGTGGGAAGACGGAGACACGCCCGACGGCGAGCACAAACGGTGGAACCCAAACTGCCCTTTCATGAATAACCCTGAAGCCGTTGTCAATATAAAAATTGGCCAAGAATTAACTGAAAAATATTGCGACTCAGTTGGAAAAAATAAAATTGGAATTGGATCGAATCCATTCAAATTTGAGTCGCTGGAAAAATATGGAAGCAACATCAAAATGATATCTGATAATCCTTTGGTCACAGCCCATGATTTGAATATTCACGATTACACTTCACCGAAGCACCCTGAAAAAATTTTCAAATCAGAACGTCTAAAAACTTTTAAAATTGGCCCAAAGGACTTTCCCAAACGCCGGAAGTTCTGGCATATTTGGGATTTTATTACACCGGCTCCGGCGACCGAGTTGTTTGTTTTCACTGCAACCTTGGCCTGAAGGACTGGGCGCCTGGCGATGACCCTTTCAAGGAACACGCCAAGTGGAACTCAGGGTGCCAACACCTCATCATGCAAAAGGGCTCAGAATTCATTCGGCAAGCTCTTCACGGAAACAAAAATCAAGAAAATGAACAAGCGATGGAGATGTGCAGTTCTTTCTCTAATAAACTTTGTTCAAATTGCAATATCAATCGCGTGGCAAAAGTTAATCTACCGTGCGGACACGTAAATCTCTGTAATGAATGTAATACTGATAAGTGTGTTAATTCACCTTGTAATCAAGACATATTGGCTGAAGTTTCTGTATTTTTTTGAGCAGCATTTTGTTGTATTAGAAGTACTTATTAAAATTATGAAAAAAATGAATAGCAAACTGAAATTTTTATTAAAAAAAAAGAAAAAAAAAACACTTGTATATGATGGATGAATATTATATTAAAGTGTATTTCAACATAACAAGTAGAAAACCAAATCGAAAAAATAAATAAGTGAAATTAAAGCAATCAAGGAAGAGAGACGAGTAATGAAATTTGATTCACAATTATTGTTTTCATGGCTAATTTTAGTTAGTTTTAATGGACAATAAGAATTAAGAAAAAGGGTTGAATTGAGTCTCCCTGAAATTAAATAAAATGATAGTGCTTGCTGTATTTTCAGGTGAAAATCATTTAATTTCTAACGTGCGCATTGTTTTATCATTTATTAGATTTTTTCCAAAGAAATTTTTCGAAAATGTAAAATAAATATTCGTTAACCACTTCAAGTATCAGAGTGAAAAGCTGAAAATCACCACTGATATAAAAAGTATTACCCGCAACCAGGTGTGCGAACATCTCGCTAATTAAAAAATAGCGATCTCAGTTCATGATTTTTTGATAGTAAAGAATCAAATTGTTGGAAATAAAATATTCAAATTAAGCAATAAAAGAAAAAAATTCTACATTCAAGAGACACATTTTTAATAATGAAATAATGAAGTATCGTCATTTAATATTGCGATCCAGATTTAGCAAGCGAAATAAGCAACAGCGCGGTCCATGCGATAAGATACAGACTAAAAAGTCTAAGCCTTTTTAGTCTACATCTGAATAGCGCATATAAAAAGGAGGCCAGCAAAATTTTTTTGTCACTCGGCTGCAGCGCCTCACCCAAAGTGAACCAAAGCTTGCGCAAACCATAGAACCCGAAACGCCGCTTGTGAAGCTTTTATTTTAGCGATGGGCAAATCAGATTGTATAAATTTACAAAATGAGCACTCTGCTTCAGGAGACACATCTGAGGGGTAAGTTGCCAACCAAAAAGAAAATTAAATGATTTCGTTAAGATGGAGTACGCTGATCAGTAATTGGCCGCGTGCATTTTAAACAAGCCCGAGGAAAATATAATTGATAAAAAGTGGCAAAAGCAGATCGTCCTTCATATTGAAATCATAAAACAGCAGCACAGTAATTTCTAGCACCATTATTTGTTCAAAATTTATAGGTCCCAGAATTTCGCGCCATCGCAAGAGATTCATGGAGAGGCGGACGCATTGACTTACGACTGGAATGGCCGGAAATTATTTTTACTAATTGCACTGCACCGCCTGTTCACCTTCCCTACTAATTTTGAAATATATTCCCGGCCTTTGGCGGAAGCTGGACTTTTTTGGGATGGAGTAAAAAAAGTAATCAAGTGCCTTTTTTGCGAGTTTGAAACCAAGGATGTAAATCCCTTTAGAGACAAGACCCTGGGTGAGATTTTAAAAATGAAGTTAAATTGTGGTATCGGCCAAAAAACATCTAAGAACGTCCCAATCGGAGAAACAAAGAATTACAAATTTGAATCTCACCGACTTTATTCGCTGCTGAAAAAGAAGGACTGGAATTTTGTGACGCCCGAAGATTTGGCCAAATCGGGATTTTACTACTCCGGCCAAGAGGACAATTGTCGCTGCATATATTGCAATTTGGAGGTGCGCGCATGGGATGAGGGAGACACGCCCGACGGCGAGCACAAACGTTGGAACCCAAACTGCCCTTTCATGAAGTACCCTGAAGCCGTCGTCAATATCAAAATTGGCCAAGAATTAACTGAGGTGGCAAATGACGCAACTGGAGAAAATAAAATGGGCGCAAATTCGTTCACTCCTTGTTCGCTTTGCCACTCCAAAAGCGTGGCTAAGCGCAATCAACCCTGTGGTCACGCCAACCTATGCAATGGATGCGTTGCAAATACATGTCTAACGTGTAACAGAACTATTTCTTGTTATGATCACATGTAATTACGAGTTGTAATTATAAGCAATATATTAGATATTTTTAAACATTTATAAATCATGATTTTTTTTTTAAATTAAGTCAAAAACCTTGTAAATTTTGAAATTTTATTATTTAAATCTTTTATGCATAACGCACAGCATTAAAATAACAGACTGAAAGAAAATAAAAAAAATTAACCCTGAAGAAAACAGAACTCAATCCAACGGAATTGAAATATTTTGAAAATAATCAATATTCAATTAGATTATTTAAAAAATCATTCAGAGATATTAATTTCATTGTAGTCGTAAATTTTTAAACGATAAAAAATATTAGACATGTAGAAAACAAAAGTTTTCTTAATTTTTTCTTGTCAAGCATCTTGGTGTAAAAGTAATTTTCTGAAACAGGGCTCCCAACTATTGCAAATTCGAGGGTCAAAAGCAGTCACAAGAACAGCATTGAATATTTCAATTTGTTTCAATTATGAATATAGTTATCTTCATGAAGGCCGCAGGGTCAATTAAATTTACGTCAACTTTTCCCTACAGGTTTTCTGAGTCATTCATTGTTTCAAAGGCAAAGCGCAATATCCTACTCGTAAAGAATAAAAAACAACCAGCCGACTATACATTCAATTTAATATCACGAATAAAATTAGTGAAATTCTTCAAAAAACAATTAAACCTTTTTTACAACTGAATTATTTTAAATTTTATACCATTTTAAACAATTTTAAATATATTTTACAAATTAAATTTCTTTGTGGATAATTTATGAAACTAGAAATTTACCAAGTTTGGTGTAAAATCAACAACACATATATTATAAAAGTAATATATAATAATTATTATTATAACTTTCAATTTACGCTGAAGCGAGCAAAGGCGCCAAACGCTTTACAGGTTACAAGTTATAATTATACTTGTTAAAAGGTCCACTATGAAAAAGAGGCATAAACTTTGACGCCATTCAGCTGTAGTGCTACGAGTATTAGTTCTCGGCGCTCATATTTAAGCAGCCAGCAAACTACAGCGTCGCATACCAAAATAAACTTTATGTTTCTCATGCAAAATAGCTGAGGTCTATGATTTTTTTTTCACAATTTGTCTGACGTTGATTAATCAAACCTTAGGAAAAAAACGCATTACTTGTACATATATTTGCAAAGTAACTTTATCAACATGCAATCCAATGCAGGCCGCACGCTCCAAGCAATTAAGAAAAAGTATGACAAGTATTGGGTTAGACTAAAAAAGTCCTACTGTTGGTCCTACTATTAAAGCTACCGCAGCTTATATTCCTCATTGTCAATCAGTAACAGCGCCTCTCCCAAAAGCGAGCCGAAGCCTTTGCATACCATTAAACTCACGTGCCGTTTGTGAAGCTTTCATGGAGACCTTCAACCGTTCAATAGCAAAGAAATGCTCCGCTTTACAATCAATAGAAATATCTGCAAGGTAAGTCAACTGAGAAATACAAATTTTTTTACTAGCCAATTTTAAATTTTAATAAACACAAATATTTTCATTTCAAAAAGGTTGAAATTTCCTACCCAAGAGAATGAATCATATGGCGAATCTACGTCATCAATGCGAAGGAAGAAACCGATGAGGAAACCTTTGGCGGCAAAACATGTGTACCCCTGTGATAATGCAAAATTGGTTCTCAAAATCGCACTGCACCGCCTGTTCACTTTCCCAACTAATTTTGAAATCGATTCCCGACCACTGGCGGAAGCTGGACTCTTTTGGGATCGAGATAAGGAAGCGATCAAGTGCTATTTTTGCAAGATCGAAACCACGGATGTAAATCGCTTTACAGGCAAGACCGCGGGTGAGATTTTAAAAATGAAATCACATTGTGGCATCGGCCAAAAAACATCTAATAACGTCCCAATCGGAGGAACTGAGAATTACAAATTTGAATCTTACCGACTTTATTCGCTCCTGAAAAAGAAGGACTGGAGATTCGTGACGCCCAAAGATTTGGCCAAATCGGGATTTCACTACACTGGCAGAGAGGACAAATGCTGCTGCATTTACTGCAATTTGGAAGTGCGCGGATGGCAAGAGGGAGACACGCCCGACGGCGAGCACAAACGTTGGAACCCAAACTGCCCTTTCATGAAGTACCCTGAAGCCGTCGTCAATATCAAAATTGGCCAAGAATTAACTGAGGTGGCGAATGACGCAACTGGAGAAAATAAACTAGGAACAAAAGAGTTCCCACCTCATCTTTGTTTGCTTTGTAATCGCTACACTGTGACTAAGCAAAATCGTCCCTGCGAACACATCAACGTTTGCGATACATGCAACAAAGATATGTGTCCAGATCAGCTGTGTGGTAAAAAAATTTTGGAGCATGTTCCAATACAATAAACATATTTATGCAACAATAAGAATAAACATATTTTGTAATCGTTTGTAAAACAACGTATTTTTACTTATTATTAATCGTAATTTATATGAAAAACATTACACCAAATGTGATGGTTTTATATACTTTTAATTTAAAAACTTAGCTAATTTTTAATGGAAGAAATTTCATTTCAACATTTTTTCTTTATCCTCCTAATTAAAATTTCATGAAAAAATCTCACATAAAATAAAACAATGATAATTTTATTGAATAATTAATTGATTTAGCTGACATAATGTTCCCGAAAATAGTTAATATGTGAAATGCCTAAAAAGTACGAGACATGAAACGCAGAACATGTGTTTTTCTGCAGCGTTCTTGTTCAACATCATGGCGAAAATTCAAAATGTAATTTCGCGAATCAGTCAATTCCGATGTAAGAAATGTAATGAGCTTGATGTCACAATCAATTAATTAAGTCTTTCGCGGAGGCGTAAGAAGAGGAATAAATGAAAATGAGAAGTAAAATTTAAAAATAATTATTTTTTCAATAATTAAAAAAGGCTAAGTGCGCTGTGCTGTAGTCTGTAGTCGAATTCCATATTTTTTCAAATATCTGAATCAAAAATAATTAACAAATTGTGCTGAATTTACACACCAACATTTTATTTTCTTTTTTAACGTGGCCACGACGTGACCAATTAAAACTCGAGAGCATGCATAATAACGGGTCAAGATTTTCATCTACTGTGCAACGATTAATTTGAGAAATAAGTATTTACAAATAAGTTTTAGGCGACGCCTAAAAAAATATTGATGATGAATTAAAATTTCATATTTGTCGGACAAGAATAAACAACAATAATAATAATCACTAGCTTTCCTATGAATCTTCTTACTCGTCCTTGAACAGTAGCAAAATATTTCAAATTGAAACTTAATTATTTTTATGCAGAATAGGTGAGGTCTATGATTTTTTTTTTTCTAACACCAAGTTCAAATTTTGTCTGAAGTTGATTAATCAAACCTTAGAAAAAATAGAATTTGAACAAATATTTACGAAGTAAATTTATCAACATGCTATCCCCGCACCAAAGTAAGACAAGTTGACAAGTTATAGAGTTATTTAGTTAGACTGCAAAAGTCTAACGAGTCTGTCTAACTATTAAAGCTACTCACGACAGCAACAAATTCCTCACTCAGCGAAAGCGCCTCTCCCGAAGCGGGCCGAAGCCTGCGCATACCATTTTTTATATATTATAAACTCACGTCACGTGCCGTTTGTAAAGCTTTTATGGAGATCTTCGACCGTTTCATAGAAAACACAGCTTTAAAATCAGGAGAAATATCTGCTAGGTAAGCCAACTGGCAAAACACAAATTTTCTTATAAGCCAATTTTAAATTTTAATATCACAAATATTTTTGTTCCAAAAAGGTTGAAATTTCTTACCCATAAGAATGAATCATATGGCGAATCTACGTCATCAATGCGAAGGAAGAAACCGACGAGGAAACCTTTGGCGGCAAAACATGTGTACCCCTGTGATAATGCAAAATTGTTTTACAACATCGCACTGCACCGCCTGTTCACTTTCCCAACTAATTTTGAAATCGATTCCCGACCACTGGCGGAAGCTGGACTCTTTTGGGATCGAGATAAGGAAGCGATCAAGTGCTATTTTTGCAAGATCGAAACCACGGATGTAAATCGCTTTACAGGCAAGACCGCGGGTGAGGTTTTAAAAATGAAATCAACTTGTGGCATCGGCCAAAAAACATCTAAGAACGTCCCAATCGGAGGAACTGAGAATTACAAATTTGAATCTCACCGACTTTATTCGCTGCTGAAAAAGAAGGACTGGAATTTTGTGACGCCCGAAGATTTGGCCAAATCGGGATTTTACTACTCCGGCCAAGAGGACAATTGTCGCTGCATTTACTGCAATTTGGAGGTGCGCGGGTGGGAAGAGGGAGACACGCCCGACGGCGAGCACAAACGGTGGAACCCAAACTGCCCTTTCATGAATAACCCTGAAGCCGTCGTCAATATAAAAATTGGCCAAGAATTAACTGAACAATATTGTGATTCCATTGGAAAAAATAAAATTGGAATTGGATCGAATCCATTCAAATTTGAGTCGTTGGAAAAATATGGAAGCAACATCAAAATGAAATCTGAAAATCCTTTGGTCACAGCCCATGATTTGAATATTCACGATTACACTTCACCGAAGCACCCTGAAAAAATTTTCAAATCAGAACGTCTAAAAACTTTTAAAAATTGGCCCAAAGGACTTTCCCAAACGCCAGAAGTTCTCGCGAATTCAGGATTTTATTACACCGGCTCCGGCGACCGAGTTGTTTGTTTTCACTGCAACCTTGGCCTGAAGGACTGGGCGCCTGGCGACGACCCTTTCACGGAGCACGCCAAGTGGAACTCAGGGTGCCAACACCTAATCATGCAAAAGGGAACTGATTTCATTCGACAAATTCTGCACGAAGATAAAAGTAAAAAAAACGAGCAAGCGATGAAGACGTCCACTTCTTCCTCAAATAAGCTTCTTTGCTTTAATTGTAATATTAATCGCGTGGCAAAAGTTAATCTACCCTGCGGACACGTCAACCTTTGTAATGAATGCAATGCTAATAACTGTGTTGATTCATCTTGCAGTCAACAAATTTTGGGAGAGATTACTGTATTTTTCTGAACTGCGTTCTACATAAAAAAAATTACTAACTTAGAAAGTAATTTTGTTTTTATTTGAAAAAAAAAACCCCAAAAAAAGAATATATTAAAGATTTAGTAATAGAAAACGGACAACCAAAGAAATTTATTACAAATAATAAATAAAGCGAAATTACAGATATTTAAGGAAAGAACAGGAAAGAGAAAAACGCGAGATGGAATTTGATGAGTAATAAACGCAAGCGTGATGAGCGCAAACACATTTTTTTCACTGATTTTCACGAGCGCTACTCATTGATAATCGTTATCTAGAATCGAGTGTTTATTTCATCTTTTGGTTCGTCGAATAAATAATAATCATATAGACATTTCAATCCTTTTTTTTCTTGACACACTAAATTCAAAGCAACGAGGCAGGAAATTTTAAGTATAATATTAATTATAAGACTTTCAGGAAAGTCTAATTCTCACATCTCACATGATAAGGTCAGATAAGGTGTTATTTATTTATTAAATGCTTTTGCAAAGGTAACTTTTGTCGTCAATTTCAACTGTTGATGCAAGCTTTACTCATACTTAAGTAGGAAGTTTCTAGTTGCGTACCAGTTGCGCACTGTTGTTTTCCTCCTTCAATTATTTAATCAGATTTGCTACTTTTGCACTTATTATTAAGAGCAAAATATAAACTTTTCCATCTCAATTGACGCGCACTCTGAATAAAAATACTATTATTTATTCCTTTTTGCCAGCATAAAAATTGGAAATTTAGAAAAGAAAAGGTCCGCAACTAGGCAAGATATCAAAATAGTAAACTCAGAAAACCGAAAAAAGAGCAGTTATCCTTAAAAATTGCTGCATGTGAAATAATTCAACACGTAATTCAGGTTAAAAAGAAAATTAATAATATTTTATTAATTCCGTAAATTTTCAGAGATTTTTTAAGCATGACATGAGTAAGACTGCAAGTTAGACTTAACTTTAAAGTTAGACTTGTAAAAAGTCAAAGCCCACGATTGCGTGGAGTCCCGCAATAGGGCCGAAAAGAACAAGGCCGAAAACGGCTGAGCGGAACAAGGCCGAAAAGGAATAGTGCCGAAAAGGAACAAGGCCGAAAGCTGAAAAATAACCGATAACCGCGAGCGCGTTCAGCTCAGCGAACATTCAATCCTTTGCGCGTCAATATCAAAATCCGTCATGCGGCCGTTTCGCATTGGAAAATATAGATGAAAATTGATTTTACACAAGACTTCGCAAAAAATCTTCATTTTGGGCGAGACACATAGTCACAAAATCACATAAATTTGGGGGACAACAAGATGAAGATAAGTTGATCTCTTGCACAGCTTAAAAAACCATACTGCATCGGAACTCGGAAAACACGATCTTTCAAGAAATTATTTGTCCAGGAAACTTATCACTTATGTGTATAAACTTCTCAACCTTTTACTATAAGATCATTGTAAATTTTTTATGTCCACTGACCTATTGATTTGTATTTGGGTGGTATGAACGTGATTTGTTGAAATTTGTTAAGCTAATTTTGAGAAAAAAAAAATAAATTCTAGGAAATTCTCATAACAATGCTAAATTTAAATTTCAAAAATTTGGTTCTCCTAACAAATTCATTTTGTCTTAACTATGTCTCCTTGGACATAAAAAATCCAATGCTAAAATGTAGAGCAAAATTAATTGGGTCATTTTTTTGCAAAAGCTCTCCTTAATATTGAGTTTTCAAGTCAGCTGGTCAGTTTTTGGTTCACGTGTTTCCAGCATATCGACCATAAATAAAACCAGGAAACTGAAAATTTCCTCCCTACCACATATTAAATAATTTAGATATTTCTTACTTTGATTTATAAGGACGATGATACAAAATTTGTGTCCTGAGACCCAAGGCGTTCCATTTCTTATTGGGATGGCGGGTTGACATAACACGGTAATCGCGGTGATTTCCCAAAAAAAAAATCGGTTGTTCCTAGTTTGTTTGCACCGGTATTTCGGCCTTGTTCCTTTTCGGCCCTATTCCTTTTCGGCCCTGTTCCGCTCAGCCATTTTCGGCCTTGTTCTTTTCGGCCCTATTCCGGCACTCCGATTGCGTACAAGTGTTCACATCACGATTTTACTTTTACTGCTCGCTCTGCCTGCTTGGAAGCACAACGCCAACTCTCCTATATTTCGGCCCATTTATATAAGACAGAACATCACAGGTAAGAATAAGTGCTGGCGTTAGCAGTTTTTTCTCGGGCCCCTTATTTAAATTATAGTTTGAATCTATCTTACTTAGTCTTCTTAATTATTTAATACGTAAAGGAGGTTGACCCAAACAAAAACTGTAATATTTTCTCTCTGATTTTAATGATTTTTCTTTTATCATTAATTAATAATTTAATTTCTATTTTATTATTTACATAATTATTTACCTGCACTATTCACAAAATTTTTTGACTGCAAAAAATTGAGTGAAATAAATTAAATTTATTTAAACATAAGTTGAAGTTCAAAGTAAATAATTAAACGATTATCACTTATTGTTAATTTTTCTCCCTAAAACGAATTTTTGCAACTTTGCACAGAATCTTCAGACTGTGTGGCACAGTGGTTAGTGCGCTTGGCTGATAATTTGGAGGCCTTTGGTTCTATCCTGGCCAGGGTCAGGGCTTGAAAAAGTTCTGATTCTGACCGGCTAGTTCACAAGACTAAAGAAAATCATAGGAGGTGCATTAATCACTGCGACAGGCAGATTCGGGAGAAATTGCAGGCATTTCGTTTGCAATTTCGGCTATGCTGTCTGGTGTTTTCTGCGGTTTCCATCAGACATTCCAGGCGAATGCCGGCATAGTTCCCTTTCATAGGCCGCAGCCGCTCACCTTCCTCATCCTTCAAATTCCCAACATACAAACCCATCCTACACTCCCTTCTCCCCGGCCCAGTGGGTCGCAAGGTCACCGTGTTATCGGCCCCGAAAGGGGAGAATCCGAGTTATCGGCCCTTGCGATTTAGCAGCCTGTCTGCTACCGCTGGTGCCTTTCCCAAGAGGGATAAACAATTTAAAAAAAAAGCAGTTGTGATTTTTTTTTTTAAATCATGAGTTGTATTTTCGGAAATGTTATTTATGTTTTCAACAATTTATTATTTGATTAATTTTTTCTTGTTTTTTAGGCAAGCGAAAAAATAATCTTAATTTTGTGTTGCAGAAAAATGGAAACGGTTCCAGAGAAATTTTCACCGCAAACAAATGAAGTCCAATTATTGACGCCCAACCTCGCAATCAACCGACTCTTCACTTTTCCTTCATGGTTTGGTGAGACTTTCAACATAGACTTTGACAACCTGAAGAAATGGGCTGATGACGGATTTCTCTTCCACTGCCAAGGCAAAATAATTTGCTATTTTTGCGGCTACAGTCTGGAAAAGAGCGATTTGAAAAATCAAACAATGATTACAAAACACCAAAACTGTTCTCCTGAGCTCTGCAATAAGAATGTCCCACTGGGAAACATTGAAAGCGTTTTGAATTACAAATTTGAATCTCACCGACTGTATTCGCTGCTGAAAAAGAAGGACTGGAGATTCGTGACGCCTTTTGATTTGGCGCGATCGGGATTTTACTACACCGGCCAAGAGGACAATTGTCGCTGCTTTTGTTGCCGATTGGAACTGAAAGCGTGGGTGAAAGAAGACACGCCGGAATCGGAGCACAAAAAGTGGAACCCAAACTGTCCTTTATTGAAGAATTGCAAAATCGACAAAAAAAACATAAGAATCGGGGAGGAGAAATACGACATGAGCAGCGATGGGACGGGAAAGCCAAACGCCAGCACCGAATATTTTGAACCATCAGAGGCGGACACTTTCAATTTCTTCATCTACGCCAGGCAAATGCCGGAGCACCGGAATTTCTGTTTGTTCTCTGACCGGCTCGAATCGTTCCAAAACTCTCAATTTCAAAATTCTGCTGACGCCTTGGCCGAGTCTGGGTTTTTTTTCAACAACGGCCGCGTCACTTGCTTTTACTGCAATGCCGCGTTTGAAAATTCTGAGCTTGACCCTTTCACTGAGCACGACAAACAGAATCAGCAATGTCCGTTTTTGGTCATGCAATTCTGGCAGGGAAAGGAACCCAACATTTTTTCCAATTCGAGCATCAATTGTTTAAAGTGTAGGAGCCGACGCTTGGCCAAAGTTTGCCTCCCTTGCGGCCACGCAAATTATTGTGATTTGTGTTCCGATCTGACGTGTCTTGTCTGCAAACAAGAAATACTTGCACAATTGTACGTCTTCATTTGAAATTAACAATTTTGTTTTTTTTTTTTTAAATATAATGGGAAAATTTGAGATTATTCGTAAATTAAATAAAATCTTTCAATTAAATAACTTTTTTATGTACAAGCGAAACAATTCAATGTTAACATCTAAGTGAAAATTATTATTCTAAAAATATTTCTGATTTAAATTAGTTTTTTTTTTAAATTCTGGAAATCTGTCTTTTTAAAATAATAACAAGCAAAAATTTTGTGCATGCACATGAATAAATTTTACTCCTCTGACTAAAACACGTCATGCTTAAAAAAATGCCCTCGCTACTTTTGATCTAATTTATAAAGTAGAAACATATTTGAAAAATATACAACCTTTTGAAAATAAGCGCCCAATTGAAAATTGAATAAAAACGATGAAATCATGAAAAATAAGTAAGTTTAACTATCAGCATGTGGTCATTGTAGTAAAAATTTACTTTGTTCACAATTATGTGATGAAATTGAAATAAAATAATTGAGTTTTAAGTTTCAATCGTTTGGAGTTTTATTGAATATTATGCCAAGTACTCGTAAATAATGAAAAGCAGAAATGGAATTTGCTGTGATGGATAGCAAAATGATTATATAATTTGTTTGATGTTTGTTTTCTACAACCGGTTTTAGGCAACCAAAAAAGGGTTAGTAGCGCGCTCATACATTTCAACAGAGACGAAAAAACCCATGTCAATAAATTTTAATAATGTTGGCGCCTCATAGCTGACGTCCCCACTACCAGGCTTTATATTTATAGCTTGAAAGAACCTCCTCTTTATAAAAACTGTAGTCGTGTCCACTTTTATCTCATCGCGCTAAACACTCGCATCACAGTTTTTTCTTTCAATATTAATTTGAAAAAAAAAACAATCAGTAAAGAGAGCTGAAGCGATTTTCTTTAAAGTCTTAAATATTTATTATTATTATATTTATAAAAACTGAAATTAGTTCTTAAAAGTTAATTGATTCCAGCAGATTGGCATTCGGGACGATTTCTTTGGAAGGAGCGGCAAAACAAAAGCCACAACTCGCCGCTGATACGAGCTTCCTTTTGAACATGGCGCTTCCTAGCTTTGTGACTTTTCCCCCAATTTCCGAAATCGAACCTCGACCTAGACCGTTTTGGGATCAGAATTGTAGGAACTTCAATTTCCCCTTTTGTGAATCGCCTGGCTTGGGAGAATAAGTTCAAATTGCGTTGAGGACAAAATTACTCTCTGGTGTTTGGGCAGAGACCAATGGTGAATATCCGGTTCGGATGGTGTGATTAACGGATTTTTTCCCTTTAAGTGAAAAATTTTTCCGTAATTTCTGGCCGATCATTCTCAACGCAGAAGGGATTCACTCAAATTTCGGTTAGACCGACTCCGTCGTTGCATATAATACGCTCCAGTTTGCTCCTCGCCGATTTTTATGTTGACGACGCCTTGGGGGTTTTTCAAAAACGGGCAGTTGGGTTCCACCGCTTGTGCTCCGACTCCGGTTTGTCTCCAGCCTTCAATCTGCGCCACTCCAGTTAATTAAGTTGCTATGAATGCAGCGGCAATCTCAGGTGTGGTACCAATAAAAATTAGATAAACTATAATTTTCAATTACATAGGGCTCTGAGCATTAGTAAAAGAATAATATTTTGATTTTAATTAATTATGGTCTTGTCCAGAGGAGTTTTTTTTTTAATTCATACTTAAAAGATTTTCAGCCAATTTGTGCAATTATTTAGATTTCATCAAGAAATCAGTTAATTCCAGTATAATAAATATTTTATAAAAATATCGCTGGCAAAATTATCCATCTGCTAATATTTTCCCCTGGGATATGGGATGATTGATAAATAATTACTTCTTGCAAAAATATCTTAAGTTTTAATATTAGTATGGGCCAAATGTAATATACTTTAAAATTTAACATAATAAAATATTCTTTCTGCTACCCACTTCATTATTTGTTAACAATTTGAAGCAATAAACACGTGGCAAAAAATATTAAAAAATATACACATTTGTTCCAATTTTTGTTCTACACATATCGAGGATGCTGAAATAACTTTTTAATCGGAATTTAATGGATTATATTTTTTTACTTTCATTTTCTAATAAAAATGAAAAAAAGTTGGCGCAACTTTCTTAACATATTCATTTTCAAATATTTTCTTTCCCTTATTCATTTGTAGTTTATTTATAACAGATATGAAGCGCATCGTCGCTGAAAAAGATTGATTTTAAATTTGGTAAGATTAGGTTTTTTGGGTGGGAGGAGAACGACAAACCAGAATCAGAACGCAAACGGTGGAAACCAAACTGCCCGTTATTGGAAAACCCCGGGGTCGCCGTCATCATGAAAATTGGCCAAGAGCAAACTGAAGCGTTCAGCGACGGAGTCGGTCTAAAAAAAATTGGAGTAAATACTTTCAGCGTGGTTGTGTGCTAGAAAAATATGAAAAAACGTTATTTAAAAGCCCAAAATGCGTGAGGTACACCTTTTGATTTATGAATTCATATCTGGTCGTTACCTAAACACCAGAGAGTTAGTTCTCCTCAATGCAATTTGAACTCTTTTTTATATTTGGACCAAGCCGTGGAGGTCCTCGCGCTATCCAGATTTTTCTGTACTGGAGGGAAATTATGTGAGCCCCCAGGACTATCTCAGGTATTAACCAAAATTAAGTAGTAAATAAAATCATGTCAAATTTCTTAGTATTTCTTTTGATATAATAATATAATGTAATAACCATTTAAAATCATTTTCTTGGTAAACGGAGCAATGAATTTGCTACAAAAAAGGTCACTATAAAAATGAATAAAATAAATAGAATAACTGGATCTAATTAAACTTCAAATAATAATATGAAGACTTCATGAGTTAAAATATTCAATCTGTTATACTAAAAATTTTGTTTAAAGTTATTCATAGCTACCAATATAGGGGTATTGAAAATTTAATTTTTCCCATATTTTGTTTATTGACAACTGCAAATGTTATAAGAGATTTTATCTTCAATTTTCCAGGAATAAAAAGCAAGACCGAGATATCACGCAATTTACTTCAAATATCCACCGCATCTACCTCTCCACATTGGAAATTTGTGGCACCTTTTTAGATTTGCCTTAACTACAATTTTGAGTTGAGCGAATGAGAGGAAGAAAGACACTGAAGACGCTCAATGCCCATTAAAAAATATTAAAGAGCGTTGAGAAGTGGGAAATGAATTTATCTTGGAGGTATATCTCGAAGGTAATTAATTATTATTAAATAAAAAACATTCAATTCGTAATTATGCCATTTTAACCATTTTTTCTCTCATTAAAATCGATAAGAGTTAAAAAAGTCTTTTGTTATTATTTTCCAAAATTAATTTCAAATTTCCAAAACTAAAACTAACAAAACCAACAACATTTAAATCCTAAAAATCCATGGCAATATATTTCAATTTTTAAACCAATAATTGATTCACAATTCTATTCTAGGGGAATTCATCACATCAATGACAAAGAATCACCCACCCAACTTTTCAGTCGAACATCAAAGATTGGTCACTGAGGTTGCCCCAAACCCCAAAAGGCTTTAACTGAAGCAAGCAAGCTTTTTATTCTCAGGACGCGGCAACCATGTCAATAGTTTTATTTTCAAACTGGAGCTCATAATGATGCTTTCTAGAAATGAAAAATTGTTCGAACTTTTCACTTATTCATGATATGTCTGATATGATACAAATTATGAAAAGGACAATTTATAACGTTTCAAACCTCACTGACAGTGTAAAAGCTACTTACTCATGCAGTAATAAAAAAACTATTTTTAATGTTTATACTAATAACAGATTAAATTTAAATAAATATTTACAATTTTAAATGTTTATGTTGGTTTTCTATTCCAGACTGATTTCTTTTAGAGATCGATTCTCAGTCACTGGTCGAGGTCAGGAATTGATTTTCTGGTTTTCTACTAACAATTTTGCGTAAAAATAAATAAAAAGACAAGCTTAAGATTTAAGAGTGAGTACAAAATTGTGTTGAGAAACAAATTTTTATTGATATTTACAATAAAATTGTACAAATTAAGATTTAGATATGTAATAAATAAATTCATTGAACCGCCAGAAATGAGATTTATATTAAAAAAATCTTTGCTTCCTGAATTTGCCTGAATTAATGGCTTGTTTTTTTTAATTGATAGAGTTGCTGAGACTGAGAAGTTTTTTTGTAAGATTTTCAACTTTTGCACTTGGACGCGGCAAAATATTTACACGCACAAAATGAAAAAAAAACTCGCTGCATTTCTACCATTTATAAGCTACATCAAAAATGAAAATCTGATAAAAACGATGCATATTTTGAATGAACATGAAATTCTTTAGAATAGTGTGACAAAGTTACCTGGTCCTAAACATTAGTTGCAAATTAAGTTTTTGTTGAATCACGGAAGGAAACCTCTGCCCACATCGAGATACTTTTGGTAATAAAAAATTTAAAATCATTAACGAAAAAATTTAAATATTTGAATGAGAGAAAAGGAAACGCATTATTATGGATACGTTAATTAATAGGATAAAAAATTTGTAACTTTTAAATTTTTGTTTTTATATCTGAACACTCACAAAAAGTATAATAAGAAAAAAAGAGAGATTATGTTATCAATCAATAATAAAATTGACTATTTTGTTCGCTGTGAGACTTCTCTTGCACAATTTATAAGGAAATAACTAAAAATGAGTAACCGCAAGCTTATAAAGTTTAGCTTAACATAATTTTTCAAATTTCCCAGCTAATGCTGGTTTATTTAAATTAAAGATAATTAAAAACAATTCAGTTAGTAAATAGAAATTATTTTGACAGTCTATCACACTCTCTCTATATTAAACTGCTAAATAACTGCATTTGAGCAAAAAATTACTTTTTAGTATAGGAAAAATTAAATGAAAAATATTAAAGGTGATGATAAATAAAAATTTTGTAACATTTTGTCAACAGTTAATAATAGAGACGTGTAAAAAATATCAATAAAATATAATTGTGTTCTTCTTGTTCGCTTTTGGCCCCTCCTTCGCTCGCTTTTAATACAGTCAGCCGCGCTTGCCTCTGGTACATAAGACTTTTTTTGAAAGCTGGACTTTTTGTTGCACGCACAAACGAAAGAACGTCTGGGATATTAACTTTAGCCGTGCACACGCGAATCTTATCTGTAAAAACCAACAGCACCACTCTTTTAGCCTATTTCACACTAATTATTTGAGGAAATAATGCAAGAGGAAAGCTGTAGCGATTTGTTAGAGTAAGTTGCTAAATTTGATATATAAATTAATGTTGTTTGTAAGAAAATATAATTCCAGCAGCTCGGCATCGGATCTGGGCGATTTATTGCAAGGCGCGGCAGTAAGAAAGCTCGTCACTGCTGAAAAGGGTTTCCTTTTTAACATCGCGCTTCATCGTTTTTTTACATTTCCCACGAATTTAGAAATCGATCCTCAAGCTTTGGCAGACGCTGGACTTTTTTGGGACGAGAATTCGGGAACCGTCAAATGCCACTTTTGCGAATTCGTGATTGAGCGCGATTCCGTATCAAATCTGAAAGGCAAAAGCCGGAGGGAAATCTTGCAAATGATGCCGAATTGCAAGTTGGAGCAATCGGATAACATTGAGCTGGATTCCGCCGCTAATTACAATTACGAGTCGCACCGCCTGTACTCGCTACTTCGGAAAAAAGACTGGGAATTCGTGACGCCCGTCGACATGGCCAAAGCCGGATTTTACTACATGGGGTCCAAGGACAAAGTTCGCTGTCATTTCTGCAACCTGGAGGTGCACGCTTGGGAGGAGGGGGACGTCCCTCTGGAGGAACACAAACGCTGGAATCTGGACTGCCCGTTCCTAAAAGATCCCGACAGCGTCGCCAACTTCCGGATCGGCGAAGAAATAATCGATAAAATGTCCAGCGACGGCGCCGGAAGCATGAGTCATGTGACGACCACGCCGTTCACCCCAGACGCGGCGTCGCGGATGCACCGCCGCGACTACCGCGACGAGTCTGAGGACGAAGACGATTCAGACATTTCGAGCGTGCTGGTCTTGCTGCTTTTGAGAATCATTTGCCAGGAAATCGCTCCCGGAGAGCATCCCGAGTACAGTTCCGTCGCGAGTCGACTAATCTCCTTTGAGAATTGGCCCAAGTCGCAGCCACCGCAGGTCTTGGCCCGCGCAGGGTTTTATTACACCGGCTGCGAGGACGAGGTCCGGTGCTTCTATTGCAGCGCGGCGCTCAAGGATTGGGACGACGAGGCCAACCCCGTCGCCAGGCACGCAAATGCAAACCCGAGGTGCCGATTTCTGGTGAGGAGGGCCTTCACCGAGCTAATCCTGAACGGCGTTGAACGTCATTGAGTGTAAAATAAAAATAATATATACATAATTACTAATTACATTTAAATGAGTTGCATGTAAGGCATAATTCTTAATAAAAGATTTTAGTTGAAAAAGTTATCAAAAGTAAAAAAAAAAAAAAAAAAAAAAAATGATAATAATTCAGTAATAATAGCGTGGTAATTATTTTGAGCTGGAGGGGACTATTTTATTTGCAAATTTTCAGAGTAAAAGTGTAACATGTATGGTACTTAGAATTGCTTGGTTTAATAAATGAGTTGCATAAAACTTGCAAAAGTTTAATTCCTAATAAAAAATTTGAATGTGCATAATTTTTAATTTCATGTTGCTAGACAAAGAGTATTTTAAGCAAAAGTAAGGCTTTTGCACGCCTTTGGCGTTCTATTAATAAATACAATATTAAAAATAATGAATACCTAAACTGAAATAAAGTAAGCTATTTGAAAAGAAAGAAAATCGAATTTTAATCATTTTTGTTGCACTTACAATTTTTTCTATGATGATAATTTATTTAAAACAGACCTTATCGAACGCAAACCCTGCTTATCAGCTCTGTTATGTTGGCCAAAAAAAGATGTCTACCTCCCAGAGCCATAAGGCCCCATGGCTCTGACGGCAGCCGTGTACCAACATAATTTCGGGACGAGCAGGGTTTGATCGAACGCAAGACTAATTAAGACCGATCGGTTGTACAACCAGCAAAGTAATAAAGAAAAAAATCACTTCATTAAATTTTGATAAAAACAAATTATGGAATTCAAAGTCTCAGTAAATATTGCAAGAAGTAATGTGCGGTAATATGTATGTATGAAAAAATGGTATACATAAAAAATTGGACTTTATAAAAAAGTCGCACAATGCTCTAAAGTAGTCTAACGTCAAAGGTTTATAAAAAGTCTCATATTATACGAGAGCCAAGAGCTTTTCACTTCTGCCGGCTGGCCAGTCTAGGAGGGGCTTGCACTACAACAGGTAATACTAAAATTTTGAGTCGCCTTAAAGGCAAATTAAATCTAAAGCAAAGTTAACTGAGAGCTTACCTCTTTAACATCCAATCCTACATGATTTTTTGCAGGAAAATGAACACCACCTTGAAATTTTGTCTTAACTACGCGCTCCACCGTTATTTCACGTTTCCAATGGAGTGCCCGTTAACAGATAAGAAAAAACTAGAGTTTGCAGACGCCGGATATTACTACAATTGCAAAATGGGGCAATATCAGTGCTACTTTTGCAAACATGCCCTTGCTGTGGTGTCCATAAAAAATGATTATAAATATGAATTATTTATCAAACCCAATGCCAAATTTCTGAACCTTCCACCCACGCATAACGCATTGACAATTTTTATTGTGGTTTGGCGATTTGGAGCACTTTAAGCTTACATTGTAATGCTCATGCACTCAATTGTTACCCTCTTTTGACAGCTCAATTTGTTCACAAATTTTTTATTCCGAGTATCATATGTTTTATAATGAACACATTTTTTCTTAGTGTTTACTTTACTTGTAAACGCACTTTCTCCATTACATTCTTGTATATTTTCTCTAAATTTCATTGCTTCTCTAAAAAAACCAAAAAAACAATTTAATACTCCTGTGTTGCAGTTAGATAAAAATGCTACAAAATTAAAATCTTTTCGAGAGCGTTTGCTTATTTTTTTAAATATTTCTGAATAGGTGCGCAATTTAAGATTTTTTTCAGCATTCTTTAATCTGCACAAAGATGAATGAAACTTTGGCTGTGTGTTATGCATTGATTTTACTTAATTATTAGGTCCATGGTGTTATGCCTTGTTCTTGTGAATGAAACCCTTAGTTGAATGGGAATGAACCGCAGCGGCAAAAAGCGTCATGTTGCGTCATCTATGGAAGTCACTCGGATGCAGCAGCACAACCACCAAGATCAGTGTGAGGCAAGGAGTTTGGTTCCAAACTCCTTGGTGTGAGCAGCAAAAAGACGGCCGACACAGCTATAGCAAGCAGAACCGGCTTTTAACTGATTTTCATTGGAAATTTTTGATAATCGGAGGTAATTCCCATCATAAGAAATGACTGAAACAAGGTAATTTTGCGCTTAATTAAATTTAATCAACAAACCGTTTGATTGACGACAGGAAAAGTTTCTGCAGCCGCACTTGGCTCATTTTCTCAGTTCAATCATGCTTCAAAACATCAAAGCAAATTTATTTTGGAAATGATAATTATCTCTTAACACAAGAACTGGTTTGAAGGGTTGGACAAAGCTTGACAAGCCGAAAGCATCATTAATGCGATTGATCATTTAACTAGCCACGATCAATTAATGGCCTAGCATTGGAAGCATAGGAAATCACAAGATGCTTTTGATGGAGCGGGCAATATCCGATTTGGCCCGTAATTATGTTCCATAATTTCATTTTCAAGGCTGGCAATTAAATTTTTATATTATTGACTCATAAGTTTTCCGTTTAAGCATTTACACAAGATTCTGTTTTTTTTTTCTATTTAAAATCTTGTCTTGTAAATTGATACATTTTTTTTCAATTTCATTCACAACCTCATAAAAATATTTCACAAGTTCCGTCTAATTATTATTTTAGGAATTTATGGGAAACGTGTTTATTTTTCAGTGCCGAGATGATGAATAAGGTAGCGCGTGATCCTCCAGGCGCAAGGACCATCAGTTTTTGGCAGTTTTTGTTATGAATGTGCCATAAATATGATCTCTCTCCAAAAAAAGCAAAATAGTACCGCGCGATTTATATTTTGTCACCGGTTATTTTAATTCCATAGCATACTAAAATATAATTGTAAGTTAAAATAGTCCCAAATATTTTTGTCATTTGTATTTTTGGTCTCTGTTCTAAAATTGTTTCCAATTAATTCAATTCAACATAAATAAAAATTGACATTTTATTTTAACTGCAAGAAATATCTTTTTATGCTCAACACACTTCTGAAAAGAACCCATCCTCACGCCTGCTTGTTCCACCAGTTTAAGTTGATAAATAAAGTAGAAATTAGTGCGAATTTATGAATGGAGCCTCAATCTGTTGCCGTGTCTTTGGAAAGAAGGGGGTACCAAGGCGAGAGGGGAAGAGCAACAGCAACCGAGGCTGGAGCTGGCCAGAGCGCGGTCATTTCGTACTTCGCAGAGATCAGTTTTTAGCCAAAACCTTAGATTATCTCACATCTGCCCGAAGTCAAGCCACACTTTGTAAAAATTTAGGAACAATAAAAGGTAATTAATTCCAAACTTATCTAATTTAATTTGCGAAAACAATTTCTCGAGTTTATGTTTGGTAAAAGGCAGGCAAGAGCGTTTAGAGCGTGTATGGAGAAAGGAAATCAAATATTTTTGCGAACAACTTTTTAATGCAACGACTGAATGCGAATAAATTTATGTAAAATAATGATAATTTTTGTAAATTATAATCGATGTCAGAATTGATCAAGGAAGACACCATCTTTATATTTTGTGAGGCCAGAAACTGATAATTATGCAATAATTCATGTATAGAGTCCTTCTTTTCAATTTTTTAGTTTCCTGTCTAATATACACTGATTTTATTTTAATTATTTATCTTTCTTGGCAACTAAAAATAACTCTTGAGTCTGCGTGAAAATGTTTTTTATGTTTAATATTTACAATAGTTTAAACCTAGCGTAAAAAGTTAAAATTATTCGTAATCATCCCAATTAATTTTTAACTAATCTCCCCTGTTTATTTTTCAGTGCAAAAAAATGGGCAGAGTAGCCAAGAATAAACAGGGAGCTGTTCTTTGCAACAACGACCTGGAGGTGCAGACGCAGACGGTTGACCCCCCTCGCATCACCATCCACTTGTTCCTTCGAGTGCTCTCCTGGCCTTTCCGCAAACTTTTGGCCTTTGCAACTTTCGTTGCTGAAAAGTTCTTCCCAGGAAGGTTTCAGAACCCGACACTTCAGGTCAACTGTTAAATTTCATTCCTTGGGATTATGGTATGTTGTTAAATTCGGATAAGTTAATTTTTCGAAAGACGCTTTTGCTTTTCCATTTCTTTTTGCAGAAACATCCAACTCCATACTGTTTATGATGTCCTTGCAGGGACAAGCAAAAGATGGTCGAGCCACGCGCAAGGAAAAGGACGGAATTGATAAGGAAGTTCTGAAGAAAACCACATATTATAGAGTGCTGAAGATAGCTTTGACCTTCCAATCGCAGTTGCCTAATGCGCTTTGGAAACGTTCGATTCAGGCAAATTATTAAAATATTATTAAGACAAAATTATTATGAAAATATTTCCATATCAACAAAATGAACAAAATCATTCTGGGTGCACATGCACATAATAACTTTCATTTAGGGCTAGGTGTTCAGTGTTTTTCATCGATTTCCTAAGTTGACGAATATTATGTATTCACTCCAAAGTTAAATATCAAAATCTTAAAGTATTTTTCCAGGAAATAAAATTAATGTTTGACAAGATAAAATCTAATCTGTTTGCATATTAATTAATTACAAAACTTATGGGTACATACCTGAACTTCAAAGGTGAAATATTTCTTCATGTTCTTGATGATCATGACCAGGAAGGGCAGTTTGATACCCAGAGTCTGTCTGGGGTCGGCGGGGCAGGTGATGTAGCACGTGCTGACGTTGGTGCCGACGATTTCCAGCACCAACGACTGGATGTCGTTGTCCGTGATGCGCTTGATGTGGCCATTGCGCACTTTTTTGTCCCAAATCTGCAGCGGTTTGCTGCCGATGCTGTAGAGGATGGAGAGGAAGCCGCTCTGGAACGTGTTCTTGAACATATCGCAACTCTTTCTACACCATCGGCCACAAATTCGGCCCAAGTATCTTTCAAAACAACGCCGAAACCCGGGGCAACCGATTGTAATAAACAATGTAAACACAAAAGGGGGCGTAACTGAAATTTAGTTGGATTTTCAGCCAATGGCGGCGCTCGGCGCGTGTTTCTTTCACAAGTCCACTGGGGCAGAGTGACGTCGTGCGATTACAACAAATATAGGTCAAAGTACAAACTAGATTTCTCATAAATTACTGGTGCATCATCTTAGTGCGCTTGCATCGGGGTAGTCTCGTTAAGTTCGTCGACAGCATCAGCATGAATCGCCTGGGCCGCCTGGTGGTCGTCACGAAAGTGGTGCAGCCCAAACAAAATGCCCTCCAACTCGTCCCCAGGTATGAAACAAAAAGTGCAGAAATTATGATAAATTACGCGTTATGGACATGACTCACGAGTCAATTGGCAATTTCATTGCAATGTCAGCTTGTCTTTTATGGCAATAAAGTGTTGGCAGATTCCTATTAATTCAATTCCGTCGAGTTAAAATTAATAAATTTCGGGGTTTCCGTAAAAGCTTTCACGTGCCGCTTAACTTTAACTTTCACATTCGTTTTTACTTAAGCTTGTAATGCAGTTTCACGATAAAAAATCCATCAATGAAATAATTTAAACAAACCTTTTTCTGTAAAAATAGATTTAAAATTACGTTCAAATTGTTACTAATAATAAAAATGTGATTAGTTAAAAAAATATAGGAGAAAATTTATTAAATTTATTACGTAACTTTTCAACAGAATCTATTTTAGATAATCCAATCCTAGAAGATTGAAATAAAATTGAAAGATTTAAATGAAATCTTTTAGATTTGTTAAATTATTATTCCTAGGTAAATTATGCTTTGTATGGAAATTTTTACTATAAAAATTACATAATTAATACAACTTTCAGGGCTATGTTTGCCTCAGCCCCAGAGGCAAATAAGGACAAAGAGGTCAAGGAGAACCAGTCGTTCACCATGAACTTGTTCAGGGGGGTGGTCCAGGGCAGCCAGGTGTTTCCCTACCCTGACGTTTTGAATGCTGAGCAGAGAGAAACCCTACAGATGCTGGTCGACCCCACGGAAAAATTCTTCGCCGTAAGCATAATAATTATTATTTATAAATAAATGTAAAAAGTTTAATTTTTTTTCTTTGTTAACTCAGGAGCAAAACGACCCTGCCAAAAACGATGCCAACGAACAAGTCGACCCAGTCACTCTTCAGGGTCTGCGGGAAATGGGCGCCTTTGGCCTGCAGGTCAGTCACCTCAAAATGCTCGGACTGATTTCAATTAATTAATTATAAGCCGATTTGGCAACTGGACTAATTTGGCGCCCATTCAGTTGATCGTTTTCCATTTTGGCATTGAGTAAGAGATGAAGTTGCATTGCAGGTGCCGACTGAATTGGGAGGAGTTGGCTTGAGCAACACGCAGTACGCGCGAATGGTTGAAATCGTCGGTGCCAACGACCTTGGCGTCGGAATCACCCTTGGTGCCCACCAGTCCATTGGCTTCAAGGTTAATAACACTTTCATTCATAATAATTATTATTTCCATATTTTTGAAAAGTCAGTTTATGTTCTCTATACATTTTTTTTACTTTCAAATGAAATAATAGAGTTGCGCTTTATTGATAATTTTACTACCATCTTAGGTATTTTAGAATATATTGCAGTTAAGCAATTTTTTTCAAACCTCATAATTATAGAATAAGTATTTTTGATATCTATTCAATTTTTGTGCTTTTCCTTGACCAAAAGTGTTTATTTACACATATGCTTTTAATAATCAATTTACTCTCCATCTGATTGTTAGATAAGATATAGTACATAAATAATTAAACAGATCCGTCCAAAGTTCGAAGTACGCACATGTCCTTTGCAAAAATATTGCCCTTTGATCAGCAGTGATTTTAAACTATCAACAACCTTGCAGGGAATTCTGCTTTTCGGCACAGACGAGCAGAAACAGAAGTACCTTCCGAAGGTTGCCTCTGGGGAACACTTTGCCGCCTTTTGTTTGACTGAGCCCAGCAGTGGCAGTGATGCTGGATCGATTAAGTAAGAAAAAAAGAGATTGTTTCAAATGTTTTTACCAAAAATTTGAATCTTAGAACCCGAGCAGTTTTGTCTCCCGACGGAAAGCACTACATTCTCAACGGAAGCAAGATTTGGATCAGTAATGGTGGGTTGGCTGAGGTGATGACTGTTTTTGCGCAAACCCCCATTACGGATGAGAAGACTGGTCAGTATATTCAAAATGAATTAAACAATTTAATTAAAAAATTTTTTTTGCTTCTCAGGTGCGACAAAAGACAAGGTCACTGCCTTTATTGTCCAGAGGAGTTTCGGAGGTGTGACCAATGGTCCTCCTGAGAAGAAGATGGGCATCAAGTGCTCCAACACCACGGAGGTTTACTACGAGGATGTTAAAGTCCCTGTTGAGAACGTCCTTGGTGGAGTTGGTCAAGGATTCAAGGCAAGATTCACTGAGATTTGAATCTGAACTAAATAATAAAGGTTTTTCTCCAGGTGGCCATGAATATTCTGAACAATGGCCGCTTCGGCATGGGTGCTGCCCTTTCTGGCACGATGCGTTCGGCCATTCGTCAAGCCGTTGACCACGCTACGACCCGAGTCCAGTTTGGCCACACCTTGAAGGAGTATGGAACCATCCAGGAGAAAATCGCACGCATGGCCATGGTGCAGTATGTGACTGAGTCGATGGCCTACATGATCAGTTCCAACATGGATTCCGGCTCCGTCGACTACCATCTTGAGGCGGCCATCAGCAAGGTCTTTGCTTCGGAAGCTGCTTGGTTCGTCACAGACGAGGCCATCCAGATTCTGGGAGGAATGGGCTTCATGAAGGCCACTGGTCTTGAAAGGGTCATGCGTGACCTGCGCATCTTCAGGATTTTTGAGGGTACCAATGACATTCTCAGACTGTTTGTCGCCCTGACTGGTAAATTGTGCAGAAATTTAAAGTGGATAAAATTATATCATAATTTTTGTGTGTAGGTATTCAGTATGCTGGCAGCCACCTGAAGGAGCTGCAGAAGGCTTTCAAGAACCCTGCTGCCAACCTTGGTGTGATCTTCAGTGAAGCTGGTCGTCGCGCCTTCAGAAGCGTTGGTCTCGGCTCAACCCCCTCCCTTGCCGAACATGTGCACTCCAACCTCTCATCTCCTGCCACACAAATTGCCAAGGTGGATTAAAAATAAAAATTAAAAAGTGGCTTAATCCTCCATTTAATCTGAATTAACTTTAAGATAATCAGGATTCCTTTTTTTTAATTTCATTTTAAAATTTTGATTAATTGTTTCAGTGTGTTGGCAACTTTGGAGAAGCCATTGAATCTATCCTGATGAAGCACGGACGCTCGGTTGTTGACAAGCAATTCGAACTTAACAGACTGGCAAGTGCTGCCATCGACATTTACTCTTCAGCCGTTGTCCTTTCGAGAGCAACGCGCGCTCTCCAGAGTGGATCTCCCTCTGCCAAGCATGAGGAGAACATGGCCACCATCTGGTGCACAGAGGTACTATCAACCCATTGGTTTTGAATTCAACTATTGATTTTTTTTTTCCTCTAAAGGCTGCTGACCGAGTGAGGATCAACTTGGGCGCCCTCACTTCTCGCACCAGCTTGGACAATAACAATCGCATGGCCTCTATTGCCGGTGACATTTGCGAAAACGGAGGACTGGTTCATGAACATCCTCTCAGACTCTAAGCTCAAGACTTTTTCCACTTCATTTGTCAACTTTCGAAAGGATTGTGGACTGCCTGATTAAAGGAACAATGCATACTTTGTTAATTACGTTGATTGTGTTACCTTTTTATTTATGTTGATAGATTCTACCTCTTGATTATTCCTGTTTACATTTCATTAAAATATGATTAATTATTACAATGTGATTTTTATTCTCTTGTTTGTGAGCCGAAAGACATGTTGTGAAACTTTACATTTTTAATAAGTACAGTTTTATTTGAATGAGATGTAATTTAAATCAGCAAGTTATCATTTCATGATAAATCAACAACACAACTCTAGCTCAAAACTAACAATGGCAAATGGCTCGAAGGGTGAATGTAGACATTCCTAGAAAACAGGCTGAAATACAGACTTTCAAAAAATCAGACTTGCAACAATTCAAGGGTCGATCCGGAGGTCAGCGAGGGAGAGTGACTCTTGTCCTCGATCCTTCCAGCCAATGCAAATGCAGTAGTGCTGAAACAACTGCTGCAGCAGCTCCGTCTCGTCGAGGAACTCGATTTTCTCGATCCGGTTTCTGTCTTCCCGAGGCAACATGTTCCAGATCTCCTCCATGGACCACGCTTTTGAACCGTCCCAACCAGTGTCCAGAAATCTGTCAATTGAAAAAAGATTTTAGATTTGAAAAACTTCTATGTGTTGGCTTAACCTCTGCTGCTGGGACGCAAGGTCTCTGCAGGCCTCAACTCCGGCCAAGGCGCACCCACGAGCCCTCAAGTTGGACAACATGATTTGTCCGAAGCGGTCATCCATGTTGACTTGCTCGTAATTGACAAAAAGGGCAGACGCAAGTTGAGATGCCAAAAAGGAAAGGAGGGACCTGATGTGCTCTGGTTCTACATAGACAAGGACACACTCGGCCAGCAGCAGGGTGGGCACCGACCAGTCGATCTCACTGTCCACCAACTTTTTCTGGACATTGGACAGCTGCCTTAAGTCAACTCCAACGAGGTGATAATTAGCCGAGTGCAGATCGGTAGGGCTGAATTTGACTTCTCCGTCTGTATAATTTCAAATTAAAGGATTTATCAAATGGGTTAAAAAACACCAAACCTTCAGAGTGGATTTGTTCAAGAAGAGTTTTGTTCCTTTTGATTGCATAACACTTCTTGGCCGTCACATTCGGAAAGTCCATTTCAACAAAGTTCTTGACCAGCAGGCCGTTGCTCTTGAGTCTCCAGTAGAGGGTATCGAAGCCAGCTCCAATGTTAATTATTTGACATTCCTCGCCGACTCTCTGTGATAATTTCTTTAAATACATAAAAATTGATTTTTATTGAATTTAAAACCTTAATAAACTGCTCGATGAGCAGACCGACGGCCGTGCAGCGAGCGTAGTAGCCTCTGTTGATTTCTGGAGCCTTCCTCTCTCCTGCCTTTACAAAGAAATTGATGAACTTGTCCTGCCAGTAGCCGAGGTTGATGGCACATCTTTTGCACTCGCTGGCGTCGTCGTTGGTCGCTCTGATCGCATCGTCGCCGACCGGACACTGCATGACGTCCTTATTGATGAAACTGGAAAAGTCAAACAAGCAATTAAAAATTTTCCAGGATGCAGCAAACCCCGATTTTTTATACCTTTCATCCACATAAAAAGTTTCTTGTTGTGTTTTTATTTTGCTTCGCAATTTTCAGCTGTATTATGCTCTATGTTCGACGTCAGCGCCATGAGTGAGGAAATTGAACACTTGCAGAGAACAACCGCGCCCCCTTTCTCCCACCAATCAGCGGCTGAGTTAGTCATTTGTCTTGTCGTCGCTGATTGGTTCAAGTCTTGCGCAACACCTGATTGTGAGTGATTGTGAGTCGTGAGTCCTGATTTTGTTTTTGTTGCCCGATTTCATTGCGATTTTTGTTGTCTGTCGATTTTGAGCCAGGAAAAGTGACCCCTTTTATGTCATATTATTGAAATCCGCGACGGTGTTGAGTGAAAACCGGCTTCTCGCTTCATCATTGAACTAATCTCGAACAAGTTGCACGCGTTTCCAGGCTGTGAAGTACTTTTTTTAGTGAAAATCGTCGAAACGAAAAATGTCTCAATGCTGTGCCGGCGTTTTGAGAACGAATTTGTGCACCACCAGCCTGAACTTCACAATTTCGAGACATTTCGGACGGATTGTGAAAAGATTTCCACTCTATCCCGACGACAAACCAATTGAATCCATCCCTGGTGAGTCCCACGTTTCTCATTTTTTTTAAATCAAATTCATTTTTAAAATGCATTCTTTTTGGCAGAGTATGCGTATGGAAAACCGAACAAGGACAAACGGCAACTGTTTGCCTGGGGCCTGAGCGAGCACGGTGGCCTGGGCATCCTCAGGCAGTTCAGGAAAGGGTCAAGAAGTCGTCAGACGGCCCCAAAATACCTTCACAGGCCATGCAGGGCTCAATTCGGAGACTTGAATAGGGTGAGAGATTAATGTAAATTGTAATGAAATCCTAAGATTTGGGCGTTGAAAATTTTTGTTTTCAAATTTCAAAACAAAAATTTTAAAACTTAAAATTATGTAATTCATCATTTTGATATTTCTGTAAAGATATGCAATTTATGAAAATATTTTTAGAACTACAAAAATGCCAGAATCCAAAATATAATTTTATTTTATGTAATTGTAATTTCTTTTGACATTTGTATGAATAAAATTGATTTATATTTCCCAGGTGACTGATGTTGCGTGTGGTTTTGGATTCACACTGTTCTCCGTTTGTACGAATAGCAGTTTAAAAGTCTACGGCTCGGGCATAAACACAGACTCTCAATTAGGTGAGTGGGGGATTGTGTTGAGGCTCGGGGTCTTGTTGGTTGGAACATTCGCCAACTCTGAGACTTAAATTATGCGCTGCTAAGCAGAAAGTATTTAAACTTTTTACTTCGGCACCAGATGGTGATCGCGTCGTGGTGAAGAAAATATGAATATATAGTAATCTAAATAAGTAAATCAATGGTATAAAAACCACCATTCTATTATTATATATTCTATTCTATATTTATTTTATGATTGATATCATATTGCGCCATTCTTTAATTGGCCGGTGTAGAATCTACCACAAATATCAATATTCTACAAAGTATAAAATTCAGTTTTAAAGAGTTTAGGTGAAACCAAAATAGGCTTCAGAGCAAAACATCTGCGTTTTACAATTTAAAAAAAAAAATTGGGTTTAAACAAAAATCTGCTGCTTCATTCAATTGACAAAGCCATTCGTCACGGCCATGAGTGTATAAATTAATATAAATTTCCGTGGCGTGTAATAAGGAAAGTCTTATTCGTGACGATTCATGATGCTGGAAATTCCATTTTGCTCACAGCTCTTTATTATTATTTATTCTTCTCGGTCAATACAAAAATTTTAAATTGGAAAAAGAGAAGAAAGGGTTTACAACTAGCAGCTGATGTCTCCTAAAACGTCCGACATCAAAAGAGACGGCCGCCGCCGTAAACCCCCACTATATAAACCCACACTATTATCTGATTATTTTTGTGAAATCAAATGAGTAACTTCTTCCATTTCTTTAATATTGACTTTCCTGTCATTATTTTGTACATAATAAAAAAATAATAATACATATAATTATACAATATCTAACAAACACACAAACATAATTATTAATGCAGCCAGGTGAAATTTTAAAATTTAATCAATCCAAATTTCTTTTTTCTAAAAGTATGAATTTTTTATCATCAGAAGTATTTATAATTGTAAGAATATTTCTAAGTGATAACTAATATTAGTAACTGTGTTATATTAGAATTTTTATCGATATAGAGATTTAGAATAGGTCAGACTTTCCTGTCACAATGCTGACATTACTAATTAATCACAAAGTATCTTCAAATGTTTTGTAAACTTTTTCTGTTTTCTGTTTTCACATTGAAAATAATATCTTGTAAAAATAAAATGCTTTTTTGAATTTTCATTTTGCAACCAACTATTAGACTTTTATCAAACGTTCAATATCCTATCATAATATATGTAGTGTAGACTTTTTCTGACTTAAGTCTTATGTATGTGATGTATGTACTCTTTGGTTTAAAATAAGCGGTATGTAGCAGGCCATTTGAAAATGTTGGTTTATAAACGCCTTATCAAAGATTTCAAGTCTTATACATTCTTTTATCATTTGGATTTTGTTGAGAAACTAAACCAAACCAATAATTAGTTCAGTTCTCTGAACTTTCCTTTGCTTGCAATTGAATTTTCAGTCATTTATAAATATCAATTAATAATTATATATATTAAATTTTCTTCCTTACAATTAAATTGCAAATCGCCGTCGCCAGCCAAGTAAAATTTAAGTGGACAAAAAGATCCACTCAGCCTTTTTTAACAATTTATTTTATCTTCTTCCTCAATAGTCTATGTAAATTCTTTACAAATTACACACTTGCACAAGGCAGAGCATCATCACAAGGAAATGTTATTTTCTGAGAAGAATTGAGGAAAATTTGACAACATTTTACAATTTTCCTCACATCAAGGAATTCTCACTTTTATTGTATACTGAGTGAATGGAATAAAATTCTTGATTTGTTTTTCATATTTTATCTAGCAATTAAAATGAAAGGGTAAATCTAAACCAATCTAAACTACAAAAATTTATATTTTTTTTAACATTATGTAGCAAAATAAAGTATGCTTAAATATTTCTTGTTTTTAAAAATAATTATTATTCAATATTTACATGTCATGTGCTGTAATAAATATAAATATACAAGTATAAAAAAAGAATCAGAAAGTGTCCTTGCTACAAATAGTTCAACTATCAACGTAAGACTACACAGGTTTTCTCGGCCGTCATGGGATCAATGCTCAGCCTGGGGCTGTTTGTGGAAACAAATAGCCTCTGGTATGCAAATCATTGATAACATTTTGGCTGAAATGTCGGGAATTTGGGAGGTATGGCGCTAGCTGCACCGACTCGCACCTCGCACTCGGAGGTTTGCTACGTTTCCTCCAAGCCATAAGCTGGAAGAACTCAGCTTGTGTGGCGAATGCATGCGTTTCATTCCAAGTCCTTTGTGGCAAGGCGGGGTCAAGGGGTAAGGTCTCAAGGGGGGTGGGGGGCCCATGCGAGCACCACCAAATCTGCTAGAAAGCCCCCGACCAGGGGTCAGGTTGGTTGGGAAGCACAATTGTGCCAAGGGTGCTCGACTACGGCAATAGACCGACCCAATAACCTAATAAGCTCACGGGTGCCATAAGCAAAAAAAAAGACTTCACGAAAGTCTATAAAGAGCCAGTGAGGCCAGACAAGGTATTCATTAACCTTTAGAATCACTAAACCATGCAATATTTTTTAACTTCGTATAAGCGAAAAGACTGGAAAGGAATGGAGATTATAAACTTTGCAAAAATTCTTCCATATATATATATATATATATATATATATATATATATATATATATATATATATATATATATATTATATATTTATAATTGAATAGAAATGATTGAAATCAATATTTAACAAGACAAAACTATTGTAATGTAACACAATCACTTGCGTATCTTTTTTAGATGAAATTTGAAAATTTCCCGGAAATTTTAAGAAAAATGTCCTTAATTAGGTGTAGTTTTCATTTCACGTGATTCTGATCTGTTTGCATAATTTCATCTTCACAAAACACGTGGTGAAACTTAAAATTATTAATGAATGAATAAATAACATTAAAGTAAGTGGAACATGATCATTTCGCAGGTTACCAGTGCCAAAGAAAAGAGGCGCCCCTCGAGCTGCTTTTGTCTCCAGTTCCGATCCGCCTCCCCATCGAAGCGAAGGAGCACGTGGCCGTTGTGGCCGCCGGCAGGGCGCACTCGCTCGTCCTGGTGGAGAAGGAAAAGGGCAAGGGCGGTCGCGTCCTCGCCTTTGGCAACAACTCGTACGGCCAGTGCGGACGCGCCGTGGAGGAGGGTGAGCAGTACCTGGGCAGCCACAGGGTCAACTGCATCGACGGGGTGGGCGACGCGGCCGTCAGAAGCGTCTCCTGCGGACAAGACCACAGCCTCTTCATCAACGCAAAGGGCGAGCTCTTCGCCTGCGGGTGGGGAGACGACGGACAGACTGGACAGAGCGCCCCTGGCAAGCTCGGACGACCTTCCAAGGTCAAAGGAGCCTTGGAAGGGGTCGACGTCCTCAAGGCTGTCAGCTCGGGCGACTGCAACTTGGCAATTAATGGTGAGTTGAAACTTTTTAGACACATAAACTCTGCATTCATTTCTTTTGATCATGTAAGGATTGCTTTCCAAAAGAAAAAGACAGTTCTAACTGTGAGATTTTAAAACCTGGATAAAATTAGTGACCAACTTGCGTGGTTTCAATTTTCATTTATTGTGACAAACCGCAAATAATTGAGCATGCAATGCCTGTGAAATCACATTGTTAAATTTGTTAACATCAAAACTGTTGCTTTGGAGACGATGGCCTCCCCTCCACTTTCGTTGGTGCTGCTGAATTACATGGGAAAGATAGGACGCTACCGCAGCGCCGCTCTGGTGGAATTTTGCTCGAAGCTCGAAATCGACCAATCACCGTGCGTAGCAGCAGCACCAACGAAAGTGGAGGGGAGGCCATCGTCTCCCTTATGGACTCTCTCTACTTATCCACATGACTTAGACTTTCGCAAAATTTTTTCCATATCGATATGATATATCGGTTATTTCATATCGATTCCGATATATATCGGTTTTAACGGAAAAACCGGTAAAAATATCGCGATATATCGGTTTTTTTCATATCGATATGAGATATCGATATATTTTGCGAGAGTCTACCATGACTTATCCACTATCCGCAGGCGGGCGGCCGAAAAAAAAACTTGAGTCCGCTCCGCATCCACATAAGTCTGCTCAATATTATAGCAACTATTTTGGACATAAATTTTTTGTCAATTTTTGATGGAGTTGCAAATTCACAAAAATTTGTTCAGAGTAATGGTACCTTACAAGGTGGCACATCCTCTCCACTCTATTATATTTTCTATGTGTTTGATTTAAATCTTTATATCAAACAAAATTTAAAAGATGAAGTTGTCATTTTCAATTATGCCGATGATACTGCCCTTCTTGCTAAACGACTTGATATGCTTCAGTCTGGACTGAATCTCCTTGTTGAGTACTCAGATAGCAATGACCTTGTTGTCAATGCCCAGAAAACTGTCAAGTTTCGGAAAGGAGGTCGAATAAAAAACACAGATAAACTATTTTGTAAAGGCTCCGAAATTAAATTTGAGAATGTAGTTAAATATCTTGGAGTGACTTTGAATCACACGGCGAAATCATTTAACAAACACATAGAATCTCGAACATTATTAGCAAATTTGGCTACATTTGATATAAAACAACTTCGTTTTTTGAGTGTAGATGCAGAAATCCGTCTCTTTTTTATAAAGGTGGCGCCGATTGCCAGTTATGGCATTACAATTGCTTGGCCTTATCTCACTCAAACAGATCTCAGAAATTTCTCAGAAATCTTGTTTTTAATGCATATTTGAAACGCCTCTTGTGTGTACATAAATCAGCTCAGAATTGTGCATTTAATGCTGGAGGTTGATTTATTTATTGGTTGTTTGCAATCTATGTATAATCTTCCATACACACCTGCTTTTGGTACTTTGTTATTCAAGAGAGAAATGAAATCGTTTGATATTCCTCCTGATTTTCACAATGCAATTGTAACACTCCCGATTAAATGGAGAAGTCCTCTTCAACAGGACCGGCATGTTTATACTAGAATAATAGTTCATGGATTTCATTATAAATTTTGCAAATTTTGTGTTAAAAAGGAATATCACTTTGCAAGCAAAGCATGTAAATGTAAATTTTGTTCACAATATTGTAGTCAACACCACAGTTTATTTTGTACTCGATCGCCTTTTTCCTCCCTTGCTCAAATGGCTGATCATCAATATTCCCGCTGAAATACGCTCAAACTGATTGTAATGACTGTCCACCGATAGTTCTATTTAGTATGTATAGCATGTATGTATTCGTATGTATTAGTAGTTGTACGCCAAGATCCGCCAAGATCCTTGTTGTACGCAGTTGTGCGCAAACGCGTTTAATAAAAGCATTATGCTTGCTCTACACCTGGCGGACTTAGACTCAACTTAAGTTGAGACTTATATGTAGAGGATGCGGCCCGGACTCAACTTAAGTTTTTTGTTAAGTCGACTCATTGTCAGTCCCAAGTCCGCCTGGTAAGAGCCAGGCATTTTATTATTATCCACATAAGTCTCAACTTAAGTTGAGTCTAAGTCCGCCAGGTGTAGAGCAAGCTTAAGTCGATAGACTTTCTAAAAAGTCTAAGGCAGAACAAGGCATAACACACAGCTTTCCGGCGGTAGCTTGCGAGGAGTCACGTGGTATGTGTAGGCTCCGCCCAGCATACTGGTGTCGGCAGCGCGATAATATGATTTCCCTTCTATAATAAAACGCAGCATCAACTAATATGCTATTATTTTTGCTTTGTGTGGAAAATTTTTGGGCAGTAAAGTCTAGACAACTAGATTATTAGTTAAAATTTTATCATTTTACCTATTACTATTTCCTGAACCGATTTTAATTCATAATATATATATATATATATATATATATATTTTTTTTTTTAATAAATTTAGGGTTTCACAAACTTATTACAAAATTTCGTTTCCACAATTTTGCAACATTAAAAGCTATTTTTCTCCTGTTGGAGGCACGTGCGAATTGGATCAATTTAAACAAATATTAAGCGATTTTCAATTTTTATGAAGTGCTATTAAACAATAATTAATTATTTTCTTCGCTCTTTTTATAATTTTTTTTACTGTAACACTTTACCTCAAAATTTAAACCTTTATTTCTGAATTTTTGCACGAGAAAAATTGTTTTTCTTATTTTCCCCCTTTTTTTATTATTTTTTAGAGAAATAATAATTTATAACCAGAATTAAGAGTTGCCAAATACGTTGCAAAATTGTGTCTCCTAATATAATTTTACTGAATTCAAACAAAACATTTTCTAATTTCTATTGTTGGCACGGGTATGCGAAAATTTAAGATTTTACTTTTAAACGATCTTTTAGCGAATTTGATTTTTTTTTTTTGTGAATATCCAACTGAATAAGCAGAGAGTTCGAAATAGTTAAACGTTAAGAATATTATTATTTAATGCTATTATTACATTTTTAAAAGTTCCCCCTTTACCTTGATTATGAATCGCCCACCAATTTTGCAGTAATCATTTTGTGTTCTCCCATAATGATTATTTTTTATTCTTCTCGAGAAATAATAAAAAATTATAAGAATTTTAGAATTTATATTAAGCAAATAAAAAAAATCACCTCAAAATTTGAAATTCTAATTTCTAATTTTGCGAACCTTACAAAAAAGATTTTTCACACTACTTCCCGGTGATAAATGTAATGCAAGAATAATTTCTAAGGTAAAAGGTAAAAAAATTATCAATTTTTCAATACACCTTCATTAGAGTTAATTAACCTCGCAGGATTGGATAATCGTACCAGGCCATGAGTAGATTTAATTTTGTGTACCAAACGTTCCTTGATTTTTTTTTCAGAAACGTCATCTTTAAAAACTACTATATTTTTGGCTTTAAAAAGTCTATATTGTCATAAAAATTTGATTAGATTAAGTCATCTTGTATGTGTAAATATTTCCCCAGCTTTTTTATGCAATTTTCATTGAGCAGGGGTACATCTTTTTAATTTATAAACAAGACTGTACTTCATGGCGATTTTAATTTAAAGTCGGCTTTTCCTCGATCAGTTTTTAGAATATTTTTAATTTTTTAAGAATCATTAAGAATAAACAATATCCTGCTCTACGTGGTTCGGCTGCGAGCTGCAGCAATAATTCATGAGCTGTGAAACCATTTTGACAAATCTATAATATTCTTACCAAAATTATTATAAAAATTAATTTTATTTAAAAAAAAATTACTATTTAACAAAAATAAATTTTTTTTTACAAATTCAATTTCAAATTTTGTTTTAAAAATTGTTTTGTGAAAAAAGTGTAATTTGAAATAATTTTTTCATGGAAAATTGTTACTTTGATTGAAAAAAATTATATTTTTGAAAAAAAGATTGATTACTGTACTAATTCTTGTCAAAATAATTTCACAGCTCATGAACATGAATATTATGCCTGCAGCCCGCAGCCGAAACATATGGAGCAGGATATTGTTTTTTTCTTAAACAATATAAAAGCTCACAAAAACCCACTGAGGTAAAGCCGAATTAAAATTCAAATCACCATGAATTTTAATTTCGGTCGTGAACTTCTACTTCTTTAATTTTTATAATTTTATAAATTTAAAAATAAATCTGAATAGCGTTTTTTAATTTAAATTAATTTTGTTATTATTTATTAGCTCCATTATTAATATTAATCTTCATAAGTTATTAAAGATTATTAATAATACGGAGATAATGAATAAATAAATAAAAATTAAAAATAAAACAGCATAATTATTAATAATAAGGCATGAAGCAATAAGCAGCTAAATTCAAGCGGTGAAGAAGCCGTCTGCGTTGCGAGCCGACCACGTGACTCACGTGACTGCTAGCCGCCAATCAGAAAGCTTAACCCGGCGTCGTGCTAAGCCAGGACTTTATCGCTCTCGCCGCTAGGTGTGCCACCTTGTTCTTGTCTAAGGCTCTCAAGTCTCACCACTTATAAATCGAATTTGCTGGATTTTCACAAGCCAATAGCCAAGCCAACGATCAAACAGTTTTGGTTGATGACCACTTGACGCTTAAGACAAAAGGGCTTCACAATCCATATTTATCTGTGCGACATTTTCAAACACAAGCAAGTAAATGCATTATGGGTGATACACAGGTGAAGCGTCGACCTTGCCCCATAAGTTTGGATCATCTTACAAAAAAGGACGATTATATGTAAGGCGTAATTTTTTTTTTAAATATCATTCTATTCATTAATTTTTTTAGTAAGCCATGTTTTGTGGACAAAGCGGAGATTGAAACGGAAAGAATGGCAAATCTACCAGCAGACAACAGACAAGAACCCGAGAAAGCTTTCAATTTAATGGAGCCAAATTCCTTTAACCAAGTCCCTGTAGATACGGTGCTAAATTTGAAACTCTACATTGCGATGCACAGGCTTTTCACCTTTCCGTCGTGGTTTTTCAAGGAGTACGGAATGGAGGTCCTACATTTGGCCGAAGCTGGATTTTACTTCTGCCAAAGTGGGATTTGTTGCTACTTTTGCAAGTGGCAAGTGTGGATCAAGGATCTAAAAAAAACATTCGGAGATAAAAAAACAGCCAGTCAAATTCTTGATATTAAACGCAAAAGAAGATGCGGATGTCCTATACTCAAGGATTCAAATAATGTGCCCCTTGGAAATATTTCTAGCGTTTTAAATTACAAATTTGAAGCGCATCGTTTGTATTCCCTGATGAAGAAAACAAATTGGAAATTTGTGATGCCCGTCGATTTGGCCAAATCAGGATTTTATTATACTGGTGTGGACGACAACTGCCGCTGCATCTACTGCAATTTGGAAGTGCGCGGATGGGAGTTGGGAGACAAACCAGAATCAGAGCACAAGCGGTGGAACCCAAACTGTCCGTTGCTGAAAAGCCCCGGTGGTGTCGTCAACATCAAAATTGGTGAAGAACAAACTGAAGCATACAGTGACGGAGTTGGTCTAAAAAAAATTGGAGCGAACCCCTTCAGTGTTCGGGGCGGTCTGCCAGATAAATACGGAAAAAACATTCATTTGAAAGCTCAAAACCCGTTGATAACACCTTCAGATCTTCGAATTCACGACTGGTCATTGCCAAGACATATTCGATACAGTTTGTCCTCGAATCGACTGGACTCTTATAAAAACTGGCCCAAATCACTTTCCCAAACCCCAGAAGTTCTCTCTCAATCTGGATTCTTTTACACTGACTCCGGCGACCGTGTGATTTGTTTCCACTGCAACCTCGGGCTTAAGGACTGGGCTACGGGCGACCACCCTTTTTCCGAGCACGCCAAATGGAACTCCGGCTGCCAGTTCTTGATCATGCAAGTGGGCTCGTCATTCATCGAACGTACCTTGCACACCAACATCACAAACCAAGTTAACGAAATGGAATTGGCAAGGGCCCCCTCTAACCTGCAGTGTCTGAAATGTCAACAAAGACATCTATCCAAAGTTTGCTTGCCTTGCGGACATGCTAATTTTTGTGGCTCATGCTCTGCTGAGAAATGCCAAGTTTGCGATCTGGAAATTCTGGCAGAAGTTTCAATCTTTTTTTGAACTTTGTATGTGCTTGGCTTGGAGCCTGTAATGCAAACCTGCTTTTGCTATCATTTTTTTTTTGCAATGAGCTCTGTGTCTGCCGAAAACAACTAAGTGCCGATAGGCAGAAAATTGAACGTGACTTAAAAAAATAATTTGTAGCAACGCGCTTGGCATTTGCGCAATAACTGTTGTATAATATTAACAAATTTAATTAGATTGTTGTAGTTTGATATTTTGGGTTTTACAATTAAGTTATTTCATTGGGTGTATAAATGGTAAATAAAAATAATTTGTGCCCAAGAAAAAAGCTTGTTATTATTTTATAATCTAAACATAAAAAAATATTAGTTGCTATATAATAAGAAACGTGAGCTGTCAGGGCTGAGCGTTTTAGTCGATCAACTATTTTTTTCTGATCTTCGCAGGATTTTAGGGTTATGAAATGAGCACGAATCATGCAATTTCGAGTCGAATAAGCTAGGGTCAAAATCGACTAAATGGACAAATATCGACTAAAATGACTGAAAAGTAACAATTTTTTTTTTAAATTTGAGCTCCGAGCGAAAAAAAAATGGTTTTTGGCAACCATCTAAAAATCTCAGACAGATCATTTAGATCATTTGTAGCTATATTTTTTGATAAATTTTTTTCTACCTCTCACCCCTGGAGGCTGGAACCCTGGCACACCCTTGCGACGAAGTCGTGACAGAAAAAAAATGTTTTTTAGCAACCATCTAAAAATTTCGGACAGACCATTTGGATCATTTCTAGCTAACTTTTTTTGAAACATTTTTTTTTTACCTCACACCCCTTGAACCCTGGCCCACCCTTGTGACGGTCTTGACTGAAAAAAATGTTTTTAGCAACCATTTAAAAATTTCGGACAGACCATTTGGATCATTTCTAGCTAACTTTTTTGAAACATTTTTTTTTTTTTACCCCACACCCCTGGAACCTTGGCCCACCCTTGCTTTGACGGTCCAGACAGAAAAAAAAATGTTTTTTAGCAACCATCTAATAATTTCGGACAGACCATTTGGATCATTTCTAGCCAAATTTTTTGAAAAAAAAATTTTTTTCCCGTCTTGCCATAATTATTAAATTTTCAAAATCGACTAAAATAGACTATTTTTGCCCGAAAATCGACTAAAATCGACTTAATTTGGGCCGAAAATCGACTTATAATAGTCGACTATTTTGACCTTCAAAATAGACTAAAACGCTCAGCCCTATGAGCATCAATTTTGGGCTCATTTATTAAAGTTTAGTTTATTCAGGACATGCTAAAAGGGGGCATTGCCAGCCTGGCTAGCTAAATACCAAAATTACCAATTATTATTATTATATCTGCTTGAGAAAGTGAGCTCTTTAATTGAATAATTAATACTTTGTATGGTTACTTGATTATTATTTTATCCTTTCCTGGTGCTTAGACAATATAGTTTATATTAAAAATGTTCTTCTTTTTTTTCAGATTCTGGTGATCTCTTTGGCTGGGGCAACTCTGAATATGGCCAACTTCTGCAACCCAACACAACCCAAGTTTATTCACCAATAAAATTGGACTTGCAAGAAGTAGGACCGGTTATCGATGTTGCTGCCGGAGGATCGTTTTGCGCCGTTTTAAATGGTTAAATAATCATAATATTATAATCTTAATGGAAAAGTTTTCAATTTAAATTTTTTCAGAAAAGAATCAGATCTGGGTTTGGGGCTTTGGCTTGCTGGGACTTGGGCCCAAAGTCGTACAGATTGGTAAGCCGCAGATGATTCCGGAGACTCTTCTCGGCCAGTCTGATTTTGCCTGGAGAAAAACAAGGATAACGTCAATACAAGCTGGACTTTTTCACCTGGCAGCTGTTTCTGCCGAAGGAGACCTTTTCACTTGGGGTCGCAATAAGGAGGGGTGTCTTGGCTTGGGTCACACCAGAGACCAGCCGTTTCCTTTAAGAGTAATATCCGTTAATTTGAAATGAACATTGATTAAATTTTATTCTGTTGAAGGTCGCAATTGGCGCATCGGTCTTGAAGGTCTCTTGTGGAGTTGACCATATGGCCGCGGTCTGCAAACCCTTTTTCTGATACAATATAAATAAAAAAATAGGCAAATAATAAATTTATTGAAGCAAATATAATGAAGAACAAATTTAAAATTATTTAAATTTTTAAATATTTTGCCTCTAATTTTAATAATTAGTTTCCATTTGCATCATTTTTATCTTATTACTTATAAATGTGAAACAGAAAAGTCAGACTTTTATGAGATAAGAATTAAGATTTAAAAAAAAATTGTATAGCATAGCAGTACTTGACAGCAAATTCGCGGTTTCCTATTTAGCCATTTAAAAAGACCTTGTCAAAAAACTTCTCTTATTTTCGCGCTTTGGTTTAAAATAAGGTTTTTCCGAGTTTGGCCACATATTGCGATTTGATTGGAGCGTTAGGTATTATTCGGACCAATCGGCGTGGCCCACGATGCTTCGCCTACTCGGCCGTCAAAATAGGAAAACTAAAACTACAGCCAAGGAGACTACAGCCTCTCGGCGCCCACGGTCCCTGAATCACCATTATTTTGCGCGAATTAAGACACAGCAGCTCGCAAAACAACATACAAATCCATTTACCTGAGACGATATTACCCTGAGCCATTTTCTCTGCTGTGGAGCGGCCGGAAAAATGCTGTTTTTAGGTATGTTTTTGGTGCCGGTGTCTCGGTCCACCGACGTGTCAATGAACGCCAGAGAAATTGGAATTTAATAAAAAAAAAAATCAATTTTAATTCAGCTCTTGCGGTTGTTTCTGCGTTCACGAGTGCGGCTGCACTCTACCCATCGTCCTCCGACGTCGTCGAACTCACACCGTCGAATTTTGACAAGTTGGTCACTCAGAGCGATGACGTTTGGGTTGTTGAATTTTTTGCCCCGTGGTGTGGCCACTGCAAGTCGCTCGTTCCGGAGTATTCGAAGGCAGCCAAAGCCCTAAAGGTATTGAAAATTTTTTCTTCCAAATTAAATTTTGTTTCTTCAATATTAAAAAAAATAATATTAGTAATTTTATGATGCTCAGGTAATAAGATTGAACAAGAAACTTAATTTCTGAACATTCCTTTTTTGCAGGGAGTGGTAAAGGTTGGTGCTGTCGATGCCGATGAACACAAGACCCTGGGCTCAAGGTTCGGAGTCTCCGGCTTCCCAACGATAAAAATCTTCGGAAGCAACAAAAATAAGCCCGAGGACTTCCGCAGCTCTCGAACCGCTCAAGGTATCGTGGACGCCGCCTTCAAAACCCTCCGGGACAATGTTGATGACCGTCTTGGTGGCAAAAGGTCAGGTGGAGGCAGCAGCGGCGGATCGGTCAGTTTACAGATTTTATTTTTAAGGAATTGCTTCTAAAAGTTGCTGAATTTTCAGGGTGATTCAAATGACGTGGTCGAACTGACCGACAGCAATTTTGCTTCCAAAGTTCTCGACTCGGACGACCTTTGGCTGGTCGAGTTTTACGCACCCTGGTGTGGCCACTGCAAAAATCTTGCTCCTCACTGGGCCAAGGCTGCTACCGAATTAAAAGGAAAAGTATGATCAGAAATTTCCACAAATTTGAAGAAATTTAACTGATCTATTTTGCTTTTTTAGGTTAAGGTTGGTGCTTTGGATGCAACGGTTCACACTTCGATGGCCAGCAGATACGGTGTCCAGGGATATCCCACTATTAAAATATTCAATGCTGGAAAGAAGGACAGCTCGTCTGTCGAAGACTACAACGGAGGCCGCACTGCTAGTGACATTGTCAACTATGCCATTGACAAACTGGCTGAAAACATTCCTGCTCCTGAAATTAATGAGGTAATTAATGCAAAACAATACAATATAAAAATTCAGTTTAGTGAAAACCAAAGCAAAATTAAATCAATTTTAAAGCCTTTAAAAAAAATTATTTTCTTTTTCCAAATTTTAGCTTACTTCAGACGAAGGTTTGAAGGAGGCCTGTGGAGAGCACCCTCTTTGTGTAATTTCTGTTCTGCCGCACATTCTTGATTGTCAGTCCGAGTGCCGAAACGATTATCTGAAGATGCTCAAGGAAATGGGAGAAAAGTACAAGAAGAAGATGTGGGGGTGAGTGAAGCAAAAAAGAAGAAAATTGAAAAGGTTTTTTTTTACACACTTCTTGTAAATTTTCAGATGGATTTGGGCCGAGGCCGGAAAGCAGCCCGCCCTTGAGGAGGTGCTCGAGATCGGCGGTTTTGGCTACCCTGCTATGGCAGTTGTGAATTCAAAGAAGATGAAGTTCTCCATCATGAGAGGCTCCTTCAGCAGAGACGGCATCAACGAGTTCCTCCGCGATCTGAGTTACGGCCGCGGCTCCACTGCTCCAGTCAGGGGAGCCGAGTTGCCCAAAATTGAAAAGTCCGAAGCGTGGGACGGCAAGGACGGCGCCCTTCCGGTCGAGGATGACATCGACCTGTCCGACGTCAGCCTGGACGACAAGGACGAGCTGTAAACTCAAAGACTTGAGCAAGAGACTGCCTGAAAAAGTGCTCGAGAGAATGTTGAATGCGTGGAAAATCTCATCTCCATGTGTATGAAAATATTTGTAAAAAATTTAACACCCTCAAGTTCTGGTTTAGTACGGGAGTGGTTCCAAGTGGGCGTTTTGTCACAAATGTCACAATTGTGTGTTAAAATGAGTATTGATTGATTAATTATACAATTATATACTTGCAAAACTTTTTATATTTTGTCGGGTATAAAAATTACAATAGATAATTTCCTGTGCTGATATATTAGTTTATAATTTATTCAATTTCCCTCGCAATGTTAGAATTATCATCGAAGTGTATTATATTGGGTGCTATTTTATTAAGAACTACTCAAAAGAGCGCCGGTATACTAAAATATTATTACTTAAATCAGGCGCTCAAGTTTAAGAATTGAAAATCAGTCATTTCATATTTATTTAAACGATCAAATGCATCGATCAGTCTCGTTTAACTGCTTGGTGTGTAGAGATTGGCAAAAAATTGCCACATGTCAAAAATATTATAGAGATCTAACTGTATGCAGTGGTAGATATTATAAAAATAGGATCAAGTTTGGCTGGTTTTGTCGTTTGTCAAACTTTGACATTGACCAACTCGATGTTCTCGAACTGCCTCTTCTTCTTGAAGTAGATTGGGTAGAAGAGGTAAAAGTAATAGGCTGTGAATCCGAGGAAGATGAAAAACAAAATCAGGAAGACGATTCCCCAGGCTGACACCAATGGTTTTCGCGGGGCTTTTGTTTTCACTAAAATTTGAACAAAATCGTGAATTTTTCATTTGATCCTTTATCATTTCTTTACAAACTAAATAAACCTTTTTTGGCTGGAAATGCAGGTTTTTTTATGTTGATACTTTCCGAGTCGTCGAAAAACGCTTGGCCATTGAGCTTTGCAGCAACTGGGCGCTGCTGCTTCTCATCTTGAGCCACGGAACAAACTGAAAGAATATTTAATTTTTAAATATTTGCTTTGTTTCTCAGACGTTTTTGTACACACCGACGACAAGCACAAGCGAAAGCAACACAATCTTGAAGCACCCCATGTTCTACCGTTTTAATTTGCTCTGAAATAATAAAAAAGTTGTAGATATTTTTGTTTGAAAACGCTCATCTCAAAAGGAATTTGAATAGATAATATAATTTAATCAGTGAATTGTGAAAAAATGTTGATTATATTTTTGGGCGTGGGAGAATGAGAATTATCCACGCCTATGTATGTATGCACTAATTTCGACGAAAAGTTGATCATGTACTTGCAATACTAAACTTGTAATTTAAATTAATTATATTATGTTAAATGAATAACTCCAGATTGTTCAAGAACAATACATTTCAGCAATTTAATTAAATTTTTACAAAAAGGATAACACCACAAAATAATAAATTGTTTACCTTTTAAGAGCAGGAAAAAATTTGAGCGTGCTGTGTTGCTGTGGCTGCTGTTGACATTGACAAGCGACAAGCAGCGAAAGCGCCGCACCGGTGTCGGTGGCACGAAATAGCAACTAAAAAGTCCAAGGTTGAAAGAAACCGACCAATAGGAGAAGTTTATTTTCGGTCCAACAATTCTTAATCCAATCAGAGACGCGGATTGTCCCATAGAGCGCCAAAAAGTTCCGAACATGTGTGTGGCTGAGATGTTTTGGTTGTTTTTATGTTTTTGCCCTGGTTTCTAGCAAGACAGCAAGTTATTTTCGCTATCTGAGAGTTTCAGCGAAATTTTGAGCCATCATAACATTCGCAGTTGAAGAAGAGAATATTTTAATGAACTGTACGTGCAATTTTGTCTATTATTTGTGTTAAATTTTAATCACATTACATAATAAGCATATAATGACAAAAAGCTTTCTCTAATTTTTTTGTCTTTTATGTATCTCTCTTTCTGTCTTCATAGAGTGGTCGGAGTTTGCGAGGAAAATGGTGAAAAAACAGGCAAAAACTTCGCTGAATGAGAGCGAGATGAGTTTGCTCAAGCAAAATTACGACCAACTTGTGGAGCGAAGCACTTGCTACATTTGGTACATTAATTACACTTTTATCCTCTTGAATAAAAAATAAAGAATTATGTAATTTTTTTAGCAACAACAGAATGAAAAAGGTTGCTTGCATAGAATGTGGCCATACCTTCTGTCGCCCCTGCATTACAAAGCACCTGGCCAAAACTCCGCAGTGTCCAAAGTGCTTGTCAAATTGCTCCAAGGAAAAAGTGATCATCAACAAGTCCATCACCTTGTTCTACGAACACCTGCAGAATATTCTCATTCAGTGTGAACGCAACTTGCCAGCAGAAGGTTTCTATTTTATTTTTATTGTAAAATTTAATATTTCTAATATTTGGTCCATTTCCAGCTAAAAGCAAAGTGCCTATAGAGAAAATGGCTTCAATTACTCCAACACCGTCGACTTCAGCTCAGCGCACAACACGAAGGTCGATGACTGCAGGGAAAACTGGTGACGGGGCTCCTCAAATGTCCAACCCCTCAACAGGCTCTACAAACATTTTTGAATTGATCAAGCCCTCGACTACGAGGATGCCAACACAGTTTCCGAATGAATCATCGGTGATTTCTCAGTACAGCATCAACCCTGACGAAAAGGTCCAATTTTGGCTTGAACAAACAAAGTCTGGTGCCATCCCCACCCAAGACAAAACAATTGAAACTCCAAGCTCAATTTCGACTCTCATTTCTCCCACACAAGCGGACTTGAACGAAATTGCCCGGTTTAAACCTCCGCCCACAATTCCCAAAAAAGCTACAAGTGGGGAAACGACACAGGTTGAAGAAAGTCAGGCAGACTCGATTTTGATGGCGAGGAATGTTAAGAAAATCACATTCGAAGCTAACAAGTCAATCGAATCAGAACCGACCAGAGATGCTGAACTGTTTCAGTCGCAATCTGAAGAATTTCAGAGCAAAAAGGAAGAGAAACGGCTGAAGAAAATCGACAGTCAATCCTCAGAGAAACCAAAGTTCAAAGGATTTGGCCTTCGGAAGAAGAAAATCTTGCCTATTAAGTATGACAGTGAAGAAGAGAAGGAGCCTAGCCAACCCCCTGCAACCGTTGAACTGGCAGACTTTTTGGATTCCGCAGAAAAGAGGAAGCCATCTCGGCAGTACAACAACAAAAAGAAGCAGGCCAAAGACATTGAAAATGGTGCAGGGGAATCCCCACAAGAGCAAAGTCTGCTGCAGTCAGAAGAAGTACTTGAGCCGGTGGGAATCATTGAAGATTCGTCTCCCCAAGGCAGTCCGACCAAAAAGAAAACTCCGTCTCCGGGATTTTCTCGGTACTCGAGGATGAAGTCCGAGTTCAAGGAGAAAAGGAAAATCGTCCCACTGAACATAAGCACCACTTCTGGCCTCAACGCCGTCCAAACTGAAAAGTCCCAGAAGAAATCCCCAGACAGAAATGAAATGATCATTGAGACGGCCAGTGAAAAATCTGACCAGAAGACAGCGGATGAGCAGAAGGATGACACTCAGACTAGCACAAATCTGATTGAAAATTCGCTTCCCCCCATTATAGAGAGACCTGTTGAGGTGCCCACGCTAACAACGCCAACTTTCATCCGGCCCAGTGACAAATCTGACCAGAAGACTGCGGATGAGCAGAAGGATGACACTCAGGCCAGCACCAATCTGATTGAAAATTCGCTTCCCCCCATTATCAGTCTGCAGGCTCTAGAGAAACCTGTTGAGGTGCCCACGCCAACTTTCATCCGTCCTGCTCCAGAACCAATCAGTCTAGATTCAAAAACTGGCAACAGGAAAAGGAAGACATTTTCTCTCGAGTCCAACACAGGGGACATTGTGGGAAATAGTCTGACGAGTCAGAGACAGCATGTCGTAGAAATCCTACCCATCAAAAAGAAAACAACTGCCAGTAAAATATACAATTTGTAAATACTTTTTGCATTAGAACTTAATATTATATTCCATTTACAGAGTCTCGACTTGTTTGCTTCCATAGATTTGGAAAATTGAAAGGGCATTCCACGAGAAAGTACGAAGTTAATTTCTTCAAGCTTGGCTACTTGAACCCATTAGTTGTAAGACAGAAATTGAAATTTGCGTAAGTATGGTAACTAAATAAATTAATTTAATTTATAAGTAAAAATTTTTCCAGACGTAAGCAAGTGTGTGATGCAGCTGTTCAGACAAGCCCCCTGCACATGTCTCAAGCTGAAACCTTTCCTGCTGATGGAACTTTAATAACAAAGGAAAATCAGGGACAATCTGTCCTTTGCCAAACCTCATTTTCCCCCATCAGACAAGTCTTGGAAAGCAGCACTCAATCAAATGATCAAGGTTCGGGTGAACAGAAATCACAGCTGTGTGAGGAAATGGACGAGGATATAATTGAAAAGAGCCAGGAGTCGGTGGTCCACACTTTCCTGAGGCCAGCTGCAGTCCAGGAGAGCTGCCAGATCGACTCCAATGATATCATTCCTGCCAGCATGCCGACACCTTCGCAACCACTGAAGCGCCAAATGGACTCCAGCTCGCTCTCTTTGTCTCCTCCAACACCTGGGCAGAGCTTTGAAACTTTGATGTCTTTGAACGAGTCCGAGTACGAGCTCCAGAACACTGAGGTTGGCAACGCAAAGCGCAGAAAGGTCAGACAAGCCAGGAAGAAAAGCAGCACTCCTAAAAAGGTCACGTGGAGTGACTTGGAGAATACCCAAGATGCAGCTGTCATGAATGTCGCAATGGAAGACTTGAAGTACGCCAGAGAAAAGGCTACCGAGGCTGATAAAACTATTGAATTGCCTTCTTCAATATCTTATGAGTAGGTTGAGTTTATCTTGCTTAATGAAATAAGATAATTTTTATGATAACTCCAGGACAGAGCTGAAAATTGGTGGAGACAAGGCACTTATGGATAAAAGTGTAAACTCTGCTAAAAGTGATTCTAAAACTGCCAAGGTAATTTCATTATATTTTTAGTGTTAAATATTTCTGTTTTGATTTATACAGAAACCCGTGCGAAACTTATCATTTGACATGGACGTACAATACATAGAATTGGATAATAATGTTGCCAAAAATTCACACACTGAAAAGACCGTAGTTGAAAGTGGCAAAAACTTAGTTTGCAAGGTTTGTTTTAAACCTGTTTTTATTAAGAAAGGCTTTTAGTTTTAATCACAATAATTTTAGGAGTCTGACGATGAAGGTGAAGAAGTGGATGCAATCGAAGGCACTCCCATTGTAAAAGTTGTTACTGCACCGAGGTAAGGATTATTAAATTTAATATCTGTCCTTCCATTTTTGCTCTCAACTTTTGAGACTTATTTAAAAGTAACAAAATTTCATCAACAAACTTTTAGGGAAGAAAAGGAAACTCCTCCACGTTCAGGGATATCTTTGATTTTCACAAGCTTGGGAAGAAATCAAATAGCTGAGATTCAAAAGTTCTGCAAATCATTCAAGAATTGCTCAGTCAACACGGCAATGAATTCATCTGTGACGCACCTTGTGGTAGATAAAATTTTGCAGAAAATTATAATTGAATTATTTCTTTGAATTTGCAGGTGCCCCATTCAGAAGACATGAACACTCTCACTACACTGAAGTTTTATCTTGCTGTGGCAAAAGGGCTGTGGGTCGTTTCCATAAATTGGATTGTGGACTGCATTTCCTCAGGCAAGATCATCCCAGAGGTAATTAATTAATTGGCTCAATTAGCATTTGGTGTCTTAAAATCCAACCACAGGAGCCATACGAGATGAAAAACATGCATGGGTGTGACGGCCCTCGAAGGTCCAGACTCAGAAAAGGTGCAATTTTTGCCGAATTGGAGATGTTTTGTTTGGACGGCACCTATTCTGGCATCACTAAAGAACAAGTCAAGGTAGAGGAGCAAAATATCACTTTGCTGTGCAGAATTAATTAATTTTTTGTTCAGGAAATCATTGTTTGTGCCGGTGGATCACTCTTGCAAAACCTGCAAGCCCCGCAGACCAAGAAATACAGGATTGTCATCAGTCCCAGTGAAAATCTCTCAGACGGTTTGAATCCAATATAAAAATGCTTAACTGGACTCGACTTTACTTTTACAGAGCCATTTGACGGAAGCTTTCTGGTGCTGATGGTGGACTGGGTGCTCGAGTCTATCGAAAACTGCAGACTGGCGAGCGCCTTCAATTACCTGCCTTCGGGCATTACTGTGACTCAAGTCTCGCAATCACAATTCCAACTTCCTGCAGACATGCTTCGATTTGAATCAAGTGATACTTTAAATTAGAAAACTGCCGACAAAGATCTTATTGAAATCTTGCACTTTTATTTAATTAACTTAGAAACAAACCATACTGTAGCAGCAATTTTAGTTGTAAGTCATATATCTAGGGGTAGCTGAGAACTTGGCGTATGACTTGATAACCTTATTGACAGCCTCAAGGAAGTCCTTTTCGGTGGCAACCTTGCGCCTGGCCCTGATTGCGAACATGCCAGCCTCGGTGCACACCGACCTGATCTCGGCACCTGAAGTTGAATTTAATTATCAGTATTAATTTTTTTCTCCATTTTATTGTCTTGTTGGTACCTGTGCTGTTGGGACAGAGTCGGGCCAGAAGTTCAAATCGAATGTCCCTTTCGACACTCATCGAGCGAGCGTGGATTTTGAAGATGTGAGTTCGTCCCTCCATGTCAGGCAGTCCAAATTCGACTTTGCGATCGAGACGTCCAGGTCTCATCAGGGCGGGATCCAGGGTATCCGGCCGGTTGGTGGCCATCAGGACCTTGATGTTGCCTCGGGGGTCAAATCCATCAAGTTGGTTGATCAGTTCCAGCATGGTACGCTGCACCTCGTTGTCTCCGCCAGCGCCGTCATCGAATCTGGCACCGCCAATGGCGTCGATTTCGTCAAAGAAGATTAAGCAAGCCTTCTTACTCCTGGCCATCTCGAAGAGTTCTCTGACCATTCGAGCTCCCTGTAAAGGAGACCAATTTTTGAAAGTGGAAGTGTAAGAAGCTTATAAATCGGAAGTTAATTTAAGATGGATCAGAAGAATAGATTGAGTCGGTACAAACATTCAGAATTTTAGATTTGAAAAATTTGATAGTAGACATCAAAATGAGCAGTTATTGGTAGTTTCCTTTTAAACTTCATCATAATTTAGTAGCAGTTTTAACGGGCTTTTGTTTTTAATTAATGTGGCAATACATTATTTACAAATTGTAAAAATAAACTATTCGAATTTGCCACAATAGTGGCGTTTGGTTTTAAAACTTAAGATTTATTGTTATCCAGATGGTATTCTAATGACAACTATTTAGTCACAATTTATTTCCGCCAGTACTAATGGATTAAGCTACACAATTTTAGAATGCCACTAGAAAAATACATGTGTATATAAAAAAAATCTTCAAGATTTACTTAGATGATATTCTTTGAATATTATGAAAGCTCAGATTTTCCTCTTTCAAACCCGTAGCATGATTCGTACCAACATCCAGAAGTTTTTATCAACTTTAATGCTGCTTTATTAATAAAAAAATTCAATTAAGTTCTGTTTTCTCAAACTCACCTCTCCAACATATTTCTGGACCAGTTCAGAGCCAATGACTCGAATGAAGCAAGCGTCGGTTCTGTTGGCCACCGCTCTGGCGCACAAAGTTTTTCCTGTTCCAGGAGGGCCGAACAGAAGGACGCCCTTCGGGGGCTCAATGCCAAGATTGACGAACTTCTCAGGCTGCATTTTTTTTTTTAAATTAGATAGGACCAAATTCTAGTTTGATAAATTTACGTGAAGCAAGGGAGTCTCGACGACTTCTCGCAGTTTGTCGATTTGCTCTTTGCAGCCGCCAACGTCACTGTAGGTGACGTCCGGTTTTTCCTCAACCTGCATCATGGTGACGGTGGGGTCGATTTTGGGTGGCAGAGGAATGTGGATCTGGTACTTGTTGCGGTCGACGCCGACACGCATGCCCTCCTCGATGTCTGTGGGCGCGACCGTGTCCGCAAGGTCAACCACGAACTTGGCAAACTGCTTCACGTTGATGATGTACTTGGGGTCGTCCGAGTCGGCGTTGATGATCTTGGTGCAGCGCGCCACTTGCAGCGGCTGCTCGTTCTGCAGGGTCTGCTTGTCGGCGGCCAAGTCCCACAGGGCGGGCGGAGCCAGACCCGTGTCCGACTCTTTGATTCCAGTCAGTTCGTTGACCCTCTTGATGGTGGCCTGAATGTCCTCCTCCACAGTCTTGATGCTCCGTGTGTATTGACCTTGGCCCTGTGCATTCGAGGAGGAAACAAAGTTGAGAATAAATTTTGGAATCAACTAAAAAAAAAACTTACGTAGGTCTTCAGTAGGGCGATATCAGCCTCGTCAAGGGCTGAAAGATTTTTAAAAACGGTTAGATTTTAATTTGTATTTAAACTCATGAACGATTATTGAATACGAAAGAGCTTTTTATAATGCATTCTCTTTGTAAATAGTTCGAGTTCGGGCGAAACTTCTGGCTTTTTTAATAATCATTCTGGATTTCTTCCCATGTCCACAAACAAAACATCCATGACATTTTAATTTCAATTTCCATTCGAAATTTCGTACCTTTCACTTCTTTTTCTTCCTCCTTTTCATCCTCCTTCACTTTCCGCATTTCATTTCCTAAATAATCCGGCATTTTAGTTGATTTATCGTTGGCTTTGCTAACAAGAATATGCAAAAATGCCGAAAATTACGAAGCTGATGGTTGATTTCTTGTTGGATGTGGATGATTCTGCATGTTGTTTATGCCCCGCCCACTTTTTAGAGCTTTCCCATTTCCGCCGCTAGGCGATCACCTGGCGTTTTTTTTGTCATTTATCACGGAAAATTGTAAACAAACACACGTTTTTGAAGAATAGAAGTGCAGAAAAAGGGTTGATCTGCAATGGACCAAGCTTCAAGTTCGTCGAAAGAACAGGCACAGCCTAAGCAGCCCATGGTTTATATTTGTGGAGGTAAAAATTTCGAAATTCTAGTGAAAGAATTTTATTTTAAAAGTGCAATATTTTCTGGTTCATTCCAGAAGTATGAAATGTCGGCTTATTTTGCAGTTTTCTTGCAAATTTGCTAACGAAATTGTATTCACATTGCAGAATGCCACCACGAAAATGAAATCAGGCAAAGAGATGCCATCAGATGCAGAGAATGTGGGTACAGAATCATGTACAAGAGGAGGACCAAAAGATGTAAAAATAAATCTTTTCTTTTATTTGAAATTATTTTCTAAAATTTTAACAGGACGAAATTAGTTCAATTTCATTGGTTTTATCTATATTTAATTATTTTTCGGTATGATTTAGAATGATTTTTATGTTTCCAGTGGTTGTGTTCGACGCGCGCTAATTCTGTCTGGCTTGATACTTGGACGTCACTCTGAAGAGTTTGAGGCACATTTTTCTATATTATAAGATTAAATTTAAGTATTTGAATTCATTTGTATTATTTAAGGTAAAGAATACATAAAATAAAATTTAAGGTAATTACTTTAATTGATATATAATCATTTTACTGTTAAAGGAAATATATTATGCGAGATGAAATGAGATGACTTTTAGGGGGGGTCACTTCCATAATATTATTTTGCTCCCTCTAATGACTTGTCTCCAACAAACGCCCACACTGGCCACACTCATGCTTGCATTCCTCGCGTTCCCTAATTTCCAAAAGTACTTTCCCGTGGGAATTTTGAATAACATTGTCATATTTGAAATATGCACAAAAGGATAAATCGCAGTTTGTTTTTAATTGCTACGACAATTCAGACCGCCTAGGAGGGATTTGAACAATGGAGAACGTCTCCGAGGGCCTCGCTCGGTTATGGGCAACAGTGAACGTCTCGAAAGGCCTCGCACGGTTATGGGCAATGGAGAACGCCTCCAAGGGTCTAGCGCGGATATGTGCAATGGAAAACGTAAAATAAAAAAAATATCCAAAAAAAATTGTTAATTGCAAAAAATAATTTATTTTGACTTCACTACTTTGAATCAGCGACGTGTGTAATTTGGCTGAGTGTGAGAAAATGTCTATCAATGCAAATTAATCAATTATGATATATCAGGAAACAAAGTTAATTTTTGATGTTAAAATTATTTAAGATATTATAATATGATCAAAACAGAGAACAATAACATTAAAACTTTGAATAAAAATTATGTATTTGTACCAGAACTTCTTTCACTTCTAATTGTCATTGGATTTTTTGACGTCACATCTGCACTTTTATAATTTCCCCAATTGATTACTCGCTTTCACACAAGATTGACAAGATTTTCCGGGAAAGCAAGGTGTCTTTTCAGCCCCGTTAATCGAGTAATTTCCCCTAAAAATCACTTCATTTTATCTGGCTTATTTCCTATTTAAGAATTAAAATTAAAAAGTTTGCAATTTTTTTCGTAATGAATTTTACGTTTAAAACCGCAGTGCTTTGATCAATTGCTAATTAGGATAATTTCGATTAATAATTAAAATTAAGTAAAGTTGCAAGGGCGTCCGCGAGATGGCGAGTGGCTGCGGCGAGATGGGGAGATTCGGTGCAGGAGAGTTCCGGCGGTGACGTCACCGGCTGCTGAGCGAGCCCGTAGTCAGGTCTGGAGCAGAGTTATGAGCAGGTCGGTGTTTCGATTGGCAGTGCTTTGACCAGTGGCCATGCCGAGGCCCAGCCTGGAGGCGGCCGGGGGCCGTGGGGGCCGCCGCCCCGAGTCCCACTGAGCACCGAGATGCCCCGCAAAAAGATGGCAGCCGACGGTAAGTGAAGCGACCTTTGGGACAGGTGCAGCGGCACAGGTGCCCTCCGCCCCCAACCAGCGGGGGCGGCACGGCCTCCCCTCGCACACAACAAGAAGGGCTACCCACCCTTTTTACATTCGCGTTCAAACCGAAGCGAAGGCAATCAAACGAAAAGAAGTGGCGCCTAATTTTTGTGAACAAAATTATTTTTCCGAATTGATTGATTTTTTTTTTAAATTTTAATTTGTGATTTTTTTTATAATTTTCGGCGTTTTATTTACACGCACTTCGTTCGAGCTGGGAATTTCTGTGCGGTCGAATTTTTCACGCCAATTTATCTCTCGCATTTTATTTACGTCAGAGAGCCACTTTGCGCAGGTTGAAAATTCCCCTTCGGAATGACTAATAAGCGTCTCTCTGCGCGGCTGTTTGTTTACAAGAAAAGCAGAAACACAGCATCCAAATTTACAACAAGCATTCTTCTTTTGCAAGCCGCAAACCCACTTGGCTGAATGACTTGTGACGGAATTAAAAAAATTAATCTCTCTTCGTCACTTGGCGCACAAACAAATTAAAAGAAGAAAACGGATATAAATGTAATTGAAAAGGCGGAGAGGTTTGTTTCTTTCTTTTTTGCTGGTGATAAAGAGGTGATCCAGTGAGCACCAAGGCCAGCCACTCCGCAGACGCCGTCCGTCGCCTTCCCAGAACAAAGCCGGCAAAGTAGGGTCAAAGGTCGCTTAACTGGGCCACCTTTCCGACCCTTCCGGTTAAAATTATTTCACTCCCAAGCTGACCAAAAAAAAATGAGGAATTTGCTCGTTTTAATTGAAAACGAAAAAATTTATTTATTAATTCAAGTTTTGAAATGATAATTTAACAATTTTATGATGAGGAATTATTTTGTCATATTTGCAAAATATTATATAAAAAATAATACATACATAACACCTCTTTTATCGTCTTTATCTATTAATAAAGATTTGATTCAAGTCTTTATGTGAATGATTTTTAAATTTGAAATTGATTTGAAAATTGTAAATCAAAATTATTATTAAATGATAATATTTTCCTTCCTAATCGGCCATTTCTGCATTTATCAAGAAAAAATTTTTTTTTACGAATCTTTGATTAAACTTTTAAAATTAATTTACATTAGTCTCGTAAGAAACTATTTTTCCTTAAATGAGAAACTGGAAATTTGATCATTTGCCCGAAATGTGGTTTAATTAATTTGGGCAAAACGGTTTCATATTTAACGAGATTGTGAACTTTTGAGTGGTGGCGTTTTGCGAGTGGGAGGATTGGCAAAGTGCGTGATCGAGTGGATCAAAGGGAATGCGAGAGTGGGTCGTGCCAAGGCAGGGGAGAAGAAGTGGATGCACCACAAAGGGAGTGCGCAGGCCGCCAGCCCGGTCGGTGCATCTGATTGATCCACGCACTGCACCACCGACCGTCGCTAGGCAACCCGCCCTCCACGCAGCGGCCACATGGCCCAACGCGGCCCAACTGCCAAAACGGCCGCTTACAAATTTAGGCCAATTTTCCTACTTATTTTTTGCTGTTTTTTGAATTTTTATTAGCATTTTCCATAAAAATATATACATAAAATCCAATGTTTCTAGAAAAGTATAATTAATTTGCTCAATTAATTCATTTTAATTTTCGCAATTTTTTTCCTTTCTAGGTAAAAGGAAGCCTTTGAAAGGTGGCGCATTTATTATTATTATTATTATTTTTGTAATAATTTTTCTATTTCTTGTACAAACGTGACACCAACGCCAATCGATAGGAAATTTAATAAGCTTTAAAAAAATCACCAAGTTTTCTTGAAATTGACATTTTTGGCGCTAAAAATTTTAATTGTTTGAAAAAGGGTCATATTTTTATTGGTTTCTTAACTCTAGCTTTTGTGTTAATCATTTTAGAGAAAAATGTTTCATACAAGACTTGTAGAAATTTTATTTTGCACATTTTTTGTATATAGAAAATCTTCTTCTAGATCCAAATCATCGAAAATGCGGAAAAGTTGAAAAAAGACGAATTCCGCTCATGGGTGAAAACCAAAGGCTTAAAATCACCTGAGGTGTTGCCCTTATATATTGGATAAATCGTGCCAATTTATACATATTTCCACTGAACCATTTATTAATGTTTCTCAAAATCTGAATTGTAAAATGGATTTCTATTAAATTCTAAAATAATTGAAATTTTTATCAATTTAAACTACTTTAATTTCACATTTCTATAATTTGCCAATTTTTTTCTTTTCGTGGTTGATCAATCTTTTAATAAATTAATAAAATGACAATTCTCAAAGTCCGTTGATACAAATTTACGTTTGACTTGTGGGAAAAGGCGAAACAATACTCGGAAGGTGTTGAGCTCGTTTGCTAAAAAGGAGACGCGCTGAGTGTGAAAAGTGCACGCCACGCGAATAATTGCGCCGTAAAATCCTCCATCCACTTCTGCAGCAACCCGACACCTATATTTCTTTCTTTCTCTCTTTCCACTCGGGTCGCCGCTGAATCTCGCGCAAATAAATTCAACGGCCGCGTCAATCTCTGGAGGTGACGTGGAGCGGCTGAGATTTTCTCCGAATCGGCGCGATCGATAGAGGAAATTTTAGTAAAGTCGTCGACAGGAGCTTCTCTTTGGTGTCGTTCGGCCGACCGGTCGCTGCAACTTCTTTTCAGAGGAGCCGCGATTCCCAGAACCGCTCGACGAAGCTTCCCAGAACTGCACATTCGAGAACAGAAAAAAAAACACTGACACGCCGAGATCGGAGCAGACGCCCCTCCAGATATCTCCCCAAATCACTCCCATCAACAAAAGCCCCTTCAAATGTTTGCATTTTATTTCATTTCTCCAAAAGTTTACCCTTTCAAATTTCACGCAATTAATTTAACTCTTTTTAAAAACCTTCAATCCTTTTCCATTTGAAAATGTTCTTAAAATCAAGTATTAATATTGGAATTTTTTGCTCAGTTCAATCGAAAATAGAATAGAACTGGAAAAATGTGGCAAAGAAAAGAGAGGATTATTGATTTTATATTATGTTATTTTTTTTTCTGAATTTAGCATGTTTGATTTTCTTCTCTTTCGTGGAAAAACAATCTAGTTACTTTTAGAATTACTTTAATTCTTGTTACACAAAATAATAGACCTGGCAATTTTTAATTAAAATTTATAGCTTTTAGTTTTGAACTTTTACTCACTAGATACGAGTCAGTTTTGGCTAGAATCTGATCTCAAGATCATTTTCGTTGTGCGTCGATCGGAATTGCAGGAAAAATCACATTTTTTAATATATTTTGTTGGTCGTTTTTTCTATATTCGAATGGATTAAAAGACAAAATCAGACAAAATCAATTAAATATAATGTAGAAGAAATATTATAAAATAAAAATTTTGATTCCTCATTTTACAGAAAAAAAACCCACAATATTCTACACAAATAAATACTAATTTATTTAAAAAACTAAAAATTGTTATGTACAGTTATAAATTAAGCCCGAAGGATTTTGCTTCTCCACAATTTATTACAATATTTGTTAGACCAAATTCATTGATATGGTTGCTCTGATTAATGTGGAATTATTAAAAAAAATTTAAGGTAAAATTGCTTCATTCATTTGTCATTCTCTCATCAAATTAATCTAATTGGAAAAAAATTAATTCCACTTATATCAACTTGAAATAAAATTAAAAAGCATCAATGAACTGTTGGTTTTGTTTCCAAAATTTATTTATTTTTTATTGTCTTAATAATTAAATCCTTTCTTATTGTGTTTCATTTCAGTAACAAACCAGTCAGGATGTGCAAATTTAGATTCATATTTGAGTGTTTGTCACAATAATTGACTGAACGCGATATTCAGAAGAAAGGGTGCGTAGGAAGTTTGTTTGATCTCGCGAAATCAAAATAGCACTTTCCGCGTATCGATGGCAGGATTGGTTGAGGGCCGCGCCGGCAGCGCTTCCAGGAACGCTCGGTTGCCATAGCGCAAAACCATCCAACGCCTCCTCCTCCTCTGCGCGATAATAATTAAATGCACCGCTTTTTGCGCTGCCAATTGATTGGTGGTTCGCGGAAATGTGTCCTGCGAACGAATCTGCATCCCACTCAAGTCAGTGAACTCTTAAAGAGTTGGAATGAATGAATGTGGTGAAAAAAGTATGAATTAAAAAAAATCCTAATTTAAAATTTTATTCCTAAACTAAATTGTTTATTTTTAAATTATTTTTTCCCGATTAATCTTATATAATAAAATTGATATTTTGCCACTTTATTAAATGAACTCAATAGAAAAGTATATTCCGAGTAAAAAATGGATTGTATTAATTTTTACTCTTCTTTGATTCTTTGCGCACAAAAAAGAATATTTATTAATTTTACATTAAATAAATTAAAATTTTAAAGTTAAATATAAGTAATTTCTTCCTAATTCAAAATAAGGTGAATAAAGGAGCCTTTGTTATGAAAAAAAATCCATTTTATCAGTAGATTAAATTTAATTTTAATTAATGCTTTTTATATAAATGAGAAATATGAGAATAAATTATCAATCAAAATTTTCCCAATATAATAAATTTTGTGCATCATTTATGATGAAGCTTCATCATTTATTTGATTTAAAGCACTAATGGTTGTTTCGAGCCAAAAAATTCCAGTTAAATCAAGACTTTCCATTAGTTTAATTGTTATAATTGCTGATTATTTCTCCAATTATAAAAACAATTTGTAATTCATCTATAACTTGAAGCGAAAAGTTGGTAATGTACTTAAAAATAATCAAAAAAAAAATTGGTTTTATTTTTGGTCTCTGCGAAAAATTTCGATGGAAACCAATTTTAAATTATTCAAATCGTCCCGTTAAACTTGTACCTTTATAGGCATTTTACCTTCTTGAATTATTAACTCTTCATGCACCCTGTGACCTTTTTATTTCTTTGTCTACGAGCAGCGTAAAAAGCGGCGTTTTTAAATGGAGGGAAAGAGACCTTGGCTGGTGGAC